AATGGAGCCTACTGGGTGAGGTCAAAGCAGTGGCGTAACACAGGGATGGTTGCCCCGGGCGCAAAATTGTTAGGGAGCACAAAGCTTCAGCACCCGGTGCTGCCTCAGTACAAATACATGCTTCCATTGCTGGACTCTGTTGAAAACGGCTTCTCCATGCGAACCAGAAAGAGACATCTCCAGACAACGGAACAACTCTTCTCTTCTCATCTCTGCATCTGCAATCTCCTGGGTGATGTGGATGCCGTTAGCCAGTTGAATGCATATATGTACTCCATCCATTTCCCTCCCTCCACACGGCCCCGGGCACTAGCAACCCACGCTACACCACTGGGTCAAAAGTCCACCTAATCTAGCATCCTGTTCTCCAGATGCCTAGGGGAAGCCCACAAGCAAGACCAGAGCTCAACAGCACTCTCCCTACTTGTGCACAGCTGTCAACTTTTCCCTTTTCTTGCGAGGAATCCTATTCGGAATAAGGGAATTTCCCTTTAAAAAAGGGAAACGTTGACAGCTATGTACTTGTGATTTCTAGCAACTGGCATGGAGAGGCATGCTAGATCGCCAAACTTTGAGGGCTGTTCAAGAAGCTTAAAGGAGGTAAGGACTTGAGGTATTAAAAGAAGCTTTCTAAGTAGGCCAAAACTTCCAAAGTTAAAAATAACTGGTTTTATTCAATGTATTTCATCCAAGCACATCCTGGAAAAGCAGCTGTTTCTGATTTAATCCTGGAATTTCCTGCTTTTCCTTAGGTTGTCCTTATATTCCATCAGATAAATGTCGGAGGGTATGGAGTTATGTGACACACACCCCTGAGCCAAGGAGTTAAGTAACTATACAATCTTCAGAAGACATCTGAAGGCAGCCCTGTAATGTTTAATGTTTTACTAGGAATTTAAGTGGACACGATGGTGCTGTGGTCTAAGCCACTGAGCCTCTTGGGCTTGGCAATCAGAAGGTCGGCGGTTTGAATCCCTGCAACGGGGTGAGCTCCCATTGCTCGGCCCCTGCTCCTGCCAACCTGGCAGTTCAAAAGCACGTCAAAGTGCAAGTAGATAAATAGGTACCACTCCGGCGGGAAGGTAAACAATGTTTCCGTGCGCTGCTCTGGTTTCGGTGTTCCGTTGCACCAGAAGCGGCTTAGTCATGCTGGCCACATGACCCGGAAAAACTGTCTGCAGACAAACGCCGGCTCCCTCGGCCAGTAAAGCGAGATGAGCGCCACAACCCCAGAGTCGTTCGTGACTGGACTTAACTGTCAGGGGTCCTTTACCTTTTTATGTACAGTGGTCCCTCGGGTTAAGAACTTAATTCGTTCTGGAGGTCCGTTCTTAACCTGAAACTGTTCTTAACCTGAGGTACCACTTTAGCTAATGGGCCACGCCGCAGCCGCACGATTTCTGTTCTCATCCTGAAGCAAAGTTCTTAACTCGAGGTACTATTTCTGGGTTAGCAAAGTCTGTAACCTGAAGCGTCTGTAACCCAAGGTACCACTGTATTTATATATGCTGGAAGCAACCCAGGGTGGCTAGGGCAATCCAGTCAGATGGGTGGGGTATAAATATTATTATTATTATTATTATTATTATTATTATTATTATTATTGAATAGGACATCCCTTTTTTTCTTCAGAGAAATGTTGGAGGGTATGTGACTGGCCAATCGAGCACTGACCTCCCACCTGTCCAAAGAAGGGAGATTTTGGTGAAAATATTGAAGTGCATCCACTGTGTGTCTCTTAAACGGTGAGCTTAGTCTCACAACCCATCTGAATCTGACATCCCTACGCTGGGTATCCTGGACTCAGTCTGTTTGGGCCTTCTAGGAATGCTCAAAAGAAATATTACATGTCGTTGGGTGTTTTGCTCTGTTTGTGTGCGTGTGTATACGTTCTACGTTTTAATTTAAATCCGAATTGCTCAGAGGCAAGCGAAAAGGGTACTTTATTAGCTAGCAATGCATACATCTTCAAGAGATATTCCCTTCATCTTATCCACTCCTGCAACAGAGATGGGGGATGCGAGACAGATCTCAATGGATATTTTTTTTTTTGCATAGCTGAATAAAAGCTCTTCTGAGCTCAGCCTGACACCCATGCATTAAAAATGCTAATCTAGAAGCTCTGTGAGCATGTTAAGAGCTTTAGCCTAGTTACCTGTTTCGCATGAGCCAGTTTCAAAGTCTCTTGAGTAATTTGGGTCACCTGCTAAGGTACTGCTGTTTCAGGAGTGGTTGAAAGAAACCCATTTAGGATGGCTGGCGAGCCATCCATCCTTGGCACAACGCAGAGTGAGAATTCGGAGCATACATCAATTCGAGGAAGAGGTTAGGGGAAAAGACCTAAAGACACAATCCCGTGCAGACCTACTTGAAACCAAGAGACACACACAAACAGACTGGCAATTTTCGCAAGATGTGAGTCACACCAACGAAGAACTTCCTGACAGTAAGAGCTGTTCGACAGTGGAATTTGCTGCCAAGGAGTGTGGTGGAGTCTCCTCTTTGAGGTCTTGCCAGAGGCTTGACAACCATATGTCAGGAGTGCTCTGATGGTGTTTCCTGCTTGGCAGGGGGTTGGACTCGATGGGGTTGGACTTGTGGTCTCTTCCAACTCTATGATTCTATGATTCTAAATCACACACCTTGCAGCAAATTCAAGTTTCATAACTGACGTTCCTTGAGGAGAGAGTTGTCAGAAGCTTCTACATATCCTCCAACATTCCTCAGATGAAAACAGGGACATTTCTCACTCCGCCTCAACTGACCCCCATTGATTCCCCCATTTTTGTTGCCCCCCCCTCCCGGCAGAGCATTTCCTATTGGAAAAAGGGCAAATGCTACCATCCCTACATCAATGGGATTCAGCACACATGCCCTCCATTGTCCTGAGAAAACCCTTAATCCCAGTTTTAGGGACATGGGTGGCGCTGTGGTCTAAACCACTGAGCCTCTTGGGCTTGCCAATTGGAAGGTCGGCGGTTTGAATACGCGCAACCGAAGTGAGCTCTTATTGCTCTGTCCCTGCTCCTGCCAACCTAGCAGTTCGAAAGCACACCAGTGCAAGTAGATAGATACATACTGCTGCGGTGGGAAGGTAAACGGCGTTTCCACACGCTCTGGTTTCCATCACTGTGTTCTGTTGTACCAGAAGCGGCTTAGTCCTGCTGGCCACATGACCCGGAAATCTGTCTGTGGACAAACACCGGCTCCCTTGGCCTGAAAGCGAGATGAGCTCCGCAACCCCATAGTCACCTTTGACTGGACTTAACCGTCCAGGGGTCCTTTACCTTTTTACCTTAATCCCAAATTTATTTTATTCTTTGGGGGATTTCCAAAAAGAAAAGCACAGACAAATAAATAAAATTCAGAGAGAGGCAATGTTAGGCGTGGATGCACAAAACATAAAAGGTAAAGTGTTAAGTTGTGGGTGAACATATCAGACAACACAGCAATTCTTCAAACAGCTCTTGTTTATTCACAGGCCAGAACAGAACTGAACTGAAGGGTTCAGTCTGCCTGCTTATATAGAGCTCCAGTACAATGTAACTGTAACAATTTTCTAAAACTATCCAATCACTGAACATCACATTTGATCCCTTATTTGCATAACTATCTACAGTATCCCCCTGCTGGCCCAGGGTGAGAACTTCAGTACATAACATAAAGGGTAAAGGGACCCCTGACCATTAGGTCCAGTCGTGGCTGACTCTGGGGTTGCGGCACTCATCTCGCTTTATTGGCCGAGGGAGCCGGTGTACAGCTTCCGGGTCATGTGGCCAGCATGACTAAGCCGCTTCTGGCGAACCAGAGCAGCGCACGGAAACGCCGTTTACCTTCCCGCCAGAGCGGAACCTATTTATCTGCTTGCACTTTAATGTGCTTTCAAACTGCTAGGTTGGCAGGAGCAGGGACCGAGCAACGGGAGCTCACCCCATCGCGGGGATTCGAACCACCGACCTTCTGATCAGCAAGCCCTAGGCTCTGTGGTTTAACCCACAGCACCACCCGCATCCCGCACAAAACACATATTTGTTTTAATCAAGGCTCCTTGCACTCTAGAGCTCCCTCTTTTTTCCCACCCAGGGAGGCCCATTCCTCTGCCTGCCCCACAGAGCTGTCACATCAGCCAGGGCTGGGCTCAGCGGTTGAAGCCTCTCCTCCTCACCTGCTCTCCAGCAGCTTCTAGGAGCTGCCCAGAGGAGGAGGCCGACAGTGGCAGCCATGGAGAGGCCTTGGAGAGGCAACAAGATGCTCCCTCGCAGCCGCTGCCATTTGGGACAAGAACCGCTCATCCCTGAGCTCAGCAGCAGCACTGGTGAGGGAATAGGGACCTTCCAGGACCTTCCAAGATCAAAACAGAAGCAGGGATGGCTTTCATAGTCCCAGGACTGTCCCTGGAAAATCGTGACGCTTGGAGGGTGTGCTTCTAGCAGCCTTGTGCCCGAGAACATACCTCAGCCCACCTTGCAAGGTGGTTGTGAGAATAAAGGTAGGAATGGGCACATCCATCAGATTATATCTGGAAGAAGACCAGGATTGAAATGTAAGTAGTTACAATAAACACCAGCAGCCTTTGGGGGAAAGCAGAGGAAAGAGTATCACCACCCCATGGGGGTGACTGTTGAGTAGAGTTGCATTGTGTTGTCTGCATATTCTGTCTGTTTCCAAAACTGTTGCTGCACAAGATCAGTGCTCTCTCTCTCTCTCCCTCTTTCCTTTTGGGTTTCTCCACTTCTCCTTCTAGCAGACTCCTTCCCTCCCGCCCACGTTCCAGGGTCCTGCCTCTGCGATTCTTAGCAGCCACAGCTGTTCCAACTAGAGAAAAGTTTGCTTCTTCAAAGACGACCCCTCCTCCTTCCTCCACCCCCTTCCCCCACCCCAGTGCCATTCCCATTGCGGCCAGAGAAAAGAGCAACGGAATTTGGCAGGATATATTTGCTGTCTCTCTACTGGCGGGCTTGTGCCTGGCTCCTGTCCTCACCGGATTTGCACAGGCAGAGATGCAGACCTCCTCCGTCCCTGCCTCCCCTCTCACGGACGGACAGTTAGTACGCCTGCTATGTGGCCTCAAGGATTTGTTTGCCACTTTGCATGCGTGTGGCAAGTAGCAGCGCCTTGGGAGCACCAGTGAGAGTTGGAGGGTTAGGAGATCCATTCCCTGTGTCTGCAGTCATGGGATTGTTGTCTATCACATGACGGTGTATGTTTTCATTCCACAGAGTGGGAAGTGACGGAGACAGAATGTTTGTGTTCCTGTGTTCCGTGAAGTGGGATTATTGTCCTTTGTTCTTTCTCCTTGCTGTCTGATGCTAGAGAGAGAGGGAACCATGTTGCAGTGCTCCGTGTGTGTTTATATGTAAATAAAGTAGATTAGCCAACATGCTGAGTTGCTGAGGTCTGTCATGCATGATGCGCAAACTCTGTGGATCTCTAAGTGTGCCGGTGTCGGTTGGCATCGGTCGCTGTGATGTTCCAGCTGAAGAAAGCTTATGAAGCTCCTGAACGATCGACCAGGAGGGAGAGAACATGCCAGTTGGGCATGTGTCTCTGCCAGGGTCCTACTCGAGGATAGGCTGAGCTCCTGACACCCACCAGCCCTGATCTCGGTGTTGTGGGTCCATGTGTGTGTCCCGCTTGCGGTCCCACCAACGGGTGTGGCTGGTCAATTGCAAACCTGGAGCAAGGCTTTCTCTGTAATGGCACCCAGTTGTGGAACACTCTCCCCTCAGAGGCATGGACTGCTACAACACTGATGCACTCCCTCCATCTTAAGTTTCCAGCCTAGTTTTTCAGCCTCTGTCTGAATTGGTTGTTGGCATCCATTCTATCTCAGGAGACAATGGAGGAGTGTGCCTTTGCAGGTGAGGTCAAACTGTTGGGGACTTACAGCGCCTGCTGTGGCTGTAGAAACTGATGCAGAAGAGACATGTTTTGTTGAAGCTGGGGCAGATGAAGGCACCCTGTTGTGCTGCTGCAGGCGCGCTGCGGCTTTTCTTCTCTCTGTGCTCCTCCCAGCGGCCATTTTTCCTCTGGTCACTGCTATGGATGCACAACCTGAGTGTCTGTCTCCAGGCACTGCGGTTGTCCGCATGGGATTCCCACACAGCAGGCTTAACGTTGGCAACCTTTTCGGTACTGGCCCCGACTTGGTAGAACACTCTGTCACAAGAGACCAGGGCCCTGCGGGATTTGACATCTTTCCTCAGGGCCTGCAAGATGGAGCTGTTCCGCCTGGCCTTCCGCTTGGACTCACTCTGACCCCTTATATGGGATTTGGTATACAGTCATACCTCGGAATAAATATGCTTCAGGATAAGTATTTTCGGGTTGCGCTCTGCGGTGACCCGGAAGTAATGGAGCGAGTTACTTCTGGGTTTTGCCGCTTGTACATGTGCAGATGGTCAAAATGACGTCACGCACATGCGTGGAAATGGCAAAATGTGACCTGCGCAGATGCAGAGTCGCATCTTACGCTCTATTCAGGATGCGAACAGGGCTCCGGAATGGATCCCGTTCGCATCCCAAGGTACCACTGTATAAATGTTCCCTTGGCGTTTTTGCTGGCCCATGTAGAACCAGCATGGATAGCTGGCTCAGGTGAATATCTGATGTTTCCTCCCTTTATGGTCTTGATTTATGGTCTACTACTAAAATGAGGCTGCATTTTAAGCAGAATTTTAAGCTGTATTTTAAGCCGTATTTTAATTAACTGGTTTTTCCCCCTATTATGTTTTATTGTAATTTATATTCGGCGTTAGCCACCCTGAGCCCGGCCCTGGCAGGGGAGGGCGGGATATAAAGAAAAAAATATTATTATGATGATGATGATGATGATGATGATGTTTGCAGGGTTGGTCTGCCAACTGGCCTGGTGCCAGAAGCCAGCTCCCCATAGAGCACATCCTTGGGCATCCTGCCATCTTCCACTCTGTGGACAGGACCAAGCCAGCATAGACGTCGCTAAGACAGGAGTGCGAACGTGCTGGGAGTATGGGCCTGGAAGAGAACTTCTTTGTTCGAGACTCTGTCCTGCCACGGGAGGATGTCCAGAATCTTCCTGCCACAGTGCCTGGGAAGGCGTTGAGGCTTTGCTTCTGGCCGTTGTAAGTTGCCCACGACTCAGTGTGGCGTAGTGGTTAAGAACGGTGGACTCGTAATCTGGTGAACCGGGTTCGCTTCCCTGCTCCTCCACACGCAGCTGCTGGGTGACCTTGGGCTAGTCACACTTCTTTGAAGTCTCTCAGCCTCACTCACCTCACAGAGTGTTTGTTGTGGGTGAGGAAGGGAAAGGAGAATGTTGGCCACTTTGAGACTCCTGAGGGTAGTGATAAAGCAGGATATCAAATCCAAACTCTTCTTCACTTCCATAAAGCAGCATGTTCCAACACCCAGGCTTGGTCCAGTCGACCTTCATCTCGGTATTGGACGTTAACCTCAGTAATCTGCTAGGATTGCTGCAATTTTATTGGTGATTTCACTCAGCTGTTAACCCATCCAAAAACAAATGTTGTAAAGCTGGCTATAAATCTGTCAAATAAATAATAAGTTAAGCATTTCCACACATGCACACGGCACAATCTGGACAGAATCTCCCCTTCTCTCCCTGGTACCTTTTTTGGGGGGTGGGGGGGTGGGGAGAATGCAAACTATTAAGAACAATCTGGACATGCAAACTTGTTTCAACCTTTGGATCATCCTTGCTGAATCAGGGAGCTTATATATTAGGAACACACTGAAGGCATTAGGAAAGATGGCTTAGCAGGCATAGACATAGAACATAGAATCATAGAGTTGGAAGAGACCACAAGGGCCATTGAGTCCAACCCCCTGCCAAGCAGGAAACACCATCAGAGGACTCCTGACATATGGTTGTCAAGCCTCTGCTTAAAGACCTCCAAAGAAGGAGACTCCACCACACTCCTTGGCAGCAAATTCCACTGCCGAACAGCTCTTACTGTCAGGAAGTTCTTCCTAATGTTTAGGTGGAATCTTCTTTCTTGTAGTTTGGATCCATTGCTCCGTGTCCGCTTCTCTGGAGCAGCAGAAAACAACCTTTCTCCCTCCTCTATGTGACATCCTTTTCTATATTTGAACATGGCTATCATATCACCCCTTAACCTCCTCTTCTCCAGGCTAAACATGCCCAGCTCCCTTAGCCGTTCCTCATAAGGCATCGTTTCCAGGCCTTTGACCATTTTGGTTGCCCTCCTCTGGACACGTTCCAGTTTGTCAGTGTCCTTCTTGAACTGTGGTGCCCAGAACTGGACACAGTACTCCAGGTGAGGTCTGACCAGAGCAGAATACAGTGGCACTATTACTTCCCTTGATCTAGATGCTATACTCCTATTGATGCAGCCCAGAATTGCATTGGCTTTTTTAGCTGCCGCGTCACACTGTTGGCTCATGTCAAGTTTGTGGTCAACCAAGACATAATCAGTCCAACCATAATTGGTCCAACCAATCATCATCATAATCATCATATATTTATATCCCGCTTTCCCCCGACTTATAGATGAAAATAAGAACCACTAAAAACATAGAAAAAAATCATTTAAAATTGGTAGCATTAAAACCATCTATCTTTTTATATGTAATCTATTAAATGCATACACTGTGAGATGAGCCATTGGCCCGACCCATCTTCTATATATATATTTTTTAAATTAGATTTTCTGTTTTACAATTAAAATGCTCATTTCAACATCCTTGAGATATCAATGACTTCCCTTCTTCTCTTTCCATGGTTCATTTTGCACATCATAAATCCCTGCATATTTTACAAAAACTAAACCATTCAGTATTCCATTATTGCATCCATCAAAACTTATTTATGCTGCTGAATTTATCTTAATGCTACCAACATTTTCAGCTGTACACAATTTCCCCCTATATATCCAATAAACGTTTCCCAATCTAAACGTATGTTCTTCTTGTTCTCTTATTCTATATGTTAAGTCTGTGAGTTGTGCATATTTTGTCAACTTAAGTTGCCATTCTTCTTTGGTTGGGACCTCGCTCGTTTTCCATTTTGGGGCTAACAAAACACGGACCGCAGTAGTAGCATACATAAATAACCTTTTTTTACACCTGTTTTTTCTTCCTCTTCTTCTGTTCTTATAGTGATGTGATTGTGCAACGGCAGCCTCACACTTCCAAGTGCAAAAAATTGATCCTATTTTGAAAATAAAAAAAAGCCTTCCTTATTTTTAATGTCTGATTTTAGCAGTAATTTTAATGTATATTTTATGTAAACTGCTTAGAGGTATTGATGATTATGTGGTGCATAAACAAAAAATAATCTGAATTAAGATGCTTAGCTATCTAATTGGATGCAGTCACCATAGTCCTCCATTTTCTGTTCATTCAATATGGGGGATTTTTCCACTGCCTCAGAAACTCCCATTGAACTTTCAAACACACACACACAGACACACACAGACACACACAGACCATTCTCCAGAGGGTTCCCTTGGGGATAAAAACATCAATGTGCCTTAGGGAGGAGACAGCTGCCAGAAGGGGGGAGGGGAGCAGGCGGAGGATTAAGCCTGATGAACAAACCTAAATGAACCTATTTGCATCCTCTGGATGGAACAAACTCCTACAGGCTGAGTTAATGGAAGGGATGCTGCAATCTTTGCCATTGCTGTAAATGAAAAAGCCAGAGATGGCTTGCGCACTCTGACTATGTTAGGGGACGCGGTTGGCGCTGTGGTCTAAACCACTGAGCCTCTTGGGCTTGCCAATCAGGTTGGCGGTTCGAATCCCTGCAACGGAGTGAGCTCCCATTGCTCTGTCCCAGATTCTGCCAACCTAGCAGTTCGAAAGCATACCAGTGCAAGTAGATAAATAGGTACCGCTGTGGCAGGAAGGTAAACGGCGTTTCCGTGCGCTCTGGTTTCCGTCACGGTGTTCCTTTGTGCCAGAAGTGGTTTACTCCTGTTGGCCACATGACCCAGAAAGATGTCTGTGGACAAACGCCGGCTCCCTCGGCCTGAAAGCGAGATGAGCACCACAACCCCATAGTTGCCTTTGACTGGACTTAACTGTCCAGGGGTCCTTTGCCTTTTTTTTTAACCTTAGTAGGCAGGAACTCTCCTCCTTCAGAGCTAGGTGGAGGTGGGCAGGCCACCTTCTCACGTAGGGGGGAAATATTGTGTCAAAATATAAAATCCATGCCTAGCCAAACGTTGGGACTCCAATTTGCATCACCATGGCCAGTGCCAATGGGAGTTGTAGTTTAGCAGGATCTGTGAGCTACCCATTATGTCCACTAAAGGGGCAATGGGGGGGGGTGTCTCCATTCTATGTTGTGGTGTGGCTTTTGCCTCAATAAACATCTTAGCCCGGCTTTTTTCAGCCAAACTCACCAGAAGTCAGTTCTGGCACTGCACCTCTCTTAAAAAATTATACTTTGCACGTTTATACATTTCACTAATTTTACAATCATTTTGACATTTCAAAACTTGACTTCCTTCCCCCTCTTTCTGCGGGTCCTTAAATTTATTATTAATATCATCCACATATCCAGATTAATTTAATTTGCTCCTTTCAATATATACTCTTATGAAACTGCAGGTTGTTACAATAATCCGCCCAGAGTGGCTGAGGAAACTCAGCCAGATGGGCGGGATATAAATAATAAATTATTATTATTATTATTATTATTATTAATTCACTTTAATCTTCAAGGTGCCACGAAACTTTTTTGTGGTTCCGGGCCACAGCTCAGCAGTAGTGTGTGTGTGTTGCATATATATATATAAATGTATATGGGGTAGAGAACCTGTGGCTCTAGGTAGTTGTTGGACTCCAGGTCCCATCAGCCCCTGCCAGAGGGTCAATAGTCAGGGATGATGGGAGTATAAGTCCGGTGTCAGAGGGATATAACTGCCCCCATCACTACTTCATAAGGTGCAGGAAGATCTCCCCCAGTACAGCAGAAGTCCTCTGGCTTCATCCATGGCACCTCTGAGGATCAGGAAGCTGCCCAGTACTGAGCTGGCTCCATTATTCTACGTAGCTCAGTATAGCCTCCCCAGGGTTCAGGCTACTTGGAGATGCCAGAATGAATTACGAAGAAAGGCAGCGGTGTTCGGGACTTTCCAGTTAAGAGAAAAGCTGAGTAATTTTAGAAGTTTGGGAAATGATGCATGGCTTGGGATAGCTCAGTTGGTAGCGCATGACCCTGTTAATCTCAGGGGTTGAGGGTTCAAGCCCCATATTGGGGAAAAGATTCCTGAATTGCAGAGAGGTGGACTATAGATGACCCTCCTGGTCCCTTCCAATTCTACGATTCCAAGCAGATGGAGAAAAATTTTCTTTCTCTCTCACACAACACTAAAACTTGTAGACATCCAGTAAATGTTGGGCGATTGAGTGACAAACCTAGACAGCATCTTAAAAAGCAGAGACATCACCTTGCCGACAAAGGTCCGTATAGTTAAAGCTATGGTTTTCCCAGTACAGTGGTACCTCGGGTTACATACGCTTCAGGTTACATACGCTTACATTCTGCTAACCCAGAAATAGTACCTCGGGTTAAGAATTTTGCTTCAGGATGAGAACAGAAATCGGGCTCCGGCGGTGCGGCAGCAGCGGGAGGCCCCATTAGCTAAAGTGGTGCTTCAGGTTAAGAACAGTTTCAGGTTAAGAACGGACCTCCGGAACAAATTAAGTACTTAACCTGAGGTACCACTGTAGTGATGTATGGAAGTGAGAGCTGACAGCCAAAGAATTGGTGCTTTTGAATTATGGTGCTGGAGGAGACTCTTGAGAGTCCCATGGACTGCAAGAAGATCAGACCTATCCATTCTGAAGGAAATCAGCCCTGAGTGCTCACTGGAAGGACAGATCCTGAAGCTGAGGCTCCAATACTTTGGCCACCTCATGAGAAGAGAAGACTCCCTGGAAAAGACCCTGATGCTGGGAAAGATGGAGGGCACAAAGAGAAGGGGATAACAGAGGACGAGATGGTTGGACAGTGTTCTCGAAGCTACCAGCATGAGTTTGACCAAACTGCGGGAGGCAGTGGAAGAAGAAGCAGAGAAGAGTTTGGATTTGATACCCCACTTTATCACTACCCTAAGGAGTCTCAAAGCGGCTAACATCCTCCTTTCCCTTCCTCCCCCACAACAAACACTCTGTGAGGTGAGTGGGGCTGAGAGACTTCAGAGAAGTGAGACTAGCTCAAGGTCACCCAGCAGCTGCATGTGGAGGAGCGGGGACGCGAACCCGGCTCCCCAGATTACTAGATTACCACTCTTAACCACTACACCACACTGGCTCTCGGAAGACTCCTGGAAGACAGGAGTACCTGGCCTGCTCTGGTCCATGGGGTCACGAAGAGTCAGACACGACTAAACAACTAAACAACAACAAAAAGCCCCTCTTGACAAAGAGCATTGTTAAACTGTGGAACTCCTTCCTGCAGGAGGCAATAGTGGCCACCAACCTAAGTGGCTTTGAAGTTTAAAAGAGGGTTAGACACATTCATGGGAGGAAGGGGCTATCGGTGGCTACTGGCCACGATGGCTATTCTTGTGCTTGGGTTCTGCTTGATGGTCGGCCACTGTGAGAACAGGATGCTGGGCTAGATGGACCACTGGCCTGATCCAGCAGGCTTTTCTTAGGCCAGGATTGCACCTTCTGGATTGAATCCTGCATGCAGCGGGCCCAGGAGAACATGCTGGAGAACTGATGCCACAGTAGACAATTTTTGCACTCCATGGGCAAAAAACAAGGTAACTAAAGGCAGGTTCCTCTGTGGTTTCTCCTTACATTTTTAAAAAACGGGAGGGCGTTTTATTCCCCCCCCCTGCACCCCCGATGCATGCTCCCTTCCCCATTATATTTTAAGAGAGAGTTCCCTGCGCGATGAGGAGACGATGATCTGCGCTGTGGCGAAACAAAGAGCAAAGTCGGTGGGTGGCAACCGCAGCGGAGATGCAGAAAACAAGAATTATTATTTAAAAAATGAAAAATCAGATCAACCCTAAGAGGGGCAGCTTGAACTCCTTCGCCCCGACACCCCAACTCCAGTTCTGCGCCTGGCCACTTCTGCAGCGCCCTTGCTCGCGCCGTCCCCCTTGGATCGCGGCGCACCTGCTGGGGGACCCCCCACCCACCCAACTCCCAGTGCGCGCCCCCCCTAAAAAAACAACACACCACCACCCAAGCCAGCTCCGTCCTCCTCCCGTCGGGCGCCGATCCCCGGCTGCAGCCGGGGGAGGAATACCGCGAGAGTTGCAAGCGGCTTCCCTCGGCCCGGCTGCGAAGGTAGGGAGAGGGGGGAAAGCGCGCGCGGGGGGTGGGCGCATGGTTGTGGTTGTGTGTCTGTGTGTGTGTGTGTGCAAGTGTGCGAGCGACGTGGTGGCGGCGGCGAGGGGGGGTCTCCGCGCATGAGCCGGCGGCGGCGGCGGCGGCGGCGAGGGCGCTTTGGCCGTGCGCATCGCTGTGCGCGCCCGGGCCCCGCCGGCCGAGCGAGCGAGAGGAGCGCGCTGCCCGCCCGCGCCGAGGTAAGCCCGGAGCCCCCCGCCGGTGCCCGGCCCTCGCCTCGCCTCCCTCCGGCCCTTCCCCACCCGGAGAGGGGCTTTTACTCCGCCCGGTGGCCCCGGCCCGGCCTCGCCGGCCGCCTCCCCAAGGCTCGCCCGCTTCCTTGCGCCCCACGGAGCTGGAGAGACCCCGGGCGAGGAGGAGGAGGAGGAGGAGGGCGAGGGGGCCAGCAGCGCCTTCCCCAAACCCCTCTCTCCTTTCCCCCCACCCCTCCCTCCTTTTCCTTTCCTCCCATCCCTCTCTCTCTCTCTCTCTCTCTCCCTTCCTTCCTTCCTCTCTCTCTCTTTCTCCTCCTTCTACATAAAAAGTCGCCATTTTGCTTCATTGCTTTTCCTGGGCTTTTTAATTAATTATTTTGTATGCCTTCCGCCCCCCCCCCCTTTTAACACCGCCCCACGCGCTCGCCCCAAAGAGGGGTGGGGGTGGGAGGCAGATTTCCTTTTCTTCCTTTCGGTCTATTTATATGTCTTTTTCTTCTTTTTCCTCCACCCCCTCCGCACCTTATTTTGCGTGCGCGGAGATCAAACGATCGCGGGTGGAGGGCGGCTGTTGCTGTTGGTGGTAGGCGGTTTATTTATGTGTATATATGTGGTTTTTTTTTAATTTATCGGATTCCCCCCCCCTTTTGCAACCCTCTCCCTTCCCAAACCCTCCTCCTTCTTCTTGCCCCCTGCAAGATTTTAATTTTTTTTTAAGCAAGCGAAACACCCATCTCTCTCTTTTGCATTCTCCGCCAGCCCTGCATTTTGCTTGATTATTCGAGCTTATTTTTTTGGGAATTGGGGAAGGGAAAGAAGCGGGGGGGGGGGAAGCAACCGAGTTCTGGAAATGTGGAAAAGGAGAGAGGAATAGCAAAGCTTTCGAGTGCTTTGCTGCTTTGGAAAGCTCCCCTTGGAAGTGGATTAGAGTTGGGTGAGCTTGTCTTCTCTCCCCCCCCCCCCATTGCAAACTAAGCGGCCTCGCCCCTGGGCAGCGACAGGTGGTGCGACCCCCCCTTTCTCCAACACACAGATCGTGCGCTTGGTGTTAGGCACACTTGCCGAAAGTGGTGCAGAGCGGAGAGGTGGGTGGGGCCCAGGTGAAGATGCTTGACCTACCTGGTCAGGTCACTTGGAGGTCACGAGGGCAACCAGCTCTTGGGGGCCGCCTGCCCTGCCCAGAGGTCAAGGTCAACAGGACCTGAATGACTTCCCTCCGTGATCCTGGCTTGAGCGCACGGATGCACAAGTGCCTAGATTGAGAAACTGGTGTTTTTGGGGAGAAGAGGTGTGCAATCTGAGCCCTGGATCCCTGGCAGTGATGCTGCAGCGGTGCAGCTGCCCGTCGCAGCGCACCTGCTTTCGGGGCTGGGCCAAACGGTGGCGACCCTCCTGCTGCCTACAGGCAGACCTCGTCCTTTGGGGCGCCTGGTGCGTCTCAGATGCCTGGCCCCTGGGCCGTGCCTTTGCCCCGAGGCGCTTTTGTGCACCATGCAGCAGCGAGGCAACTGGAGAGAGAGAGAACAGGCAGCGAACATCACCGTTTTCTTAGCGGGCTGGTAGGAAGACCAGCGCAGGCTCACCCCGGTCCAACCCCTAGATAGGGCCAGGAAAGGCTCCCTGCCTGAAACCCCCTGGGGAGACGCTGCCAGTCAGTGTAGGCAGTATTGAGCTGGGTGGATCAATGGTGCGACTCAGTGCAAGGCAAGTTGCTTAATTCGGAAACGTGAGAACTGGGGCAGTTTTAGCCACAGAGCTGAAGCGCAGAAGGTATCCTGGTCAACTCCAGGTAGGGGTGGGAATGCCTCCTGCCTGAACCCCTTGAGGGATGCTGCCAGTCAGTGCTGGGCTATGTGAGTCAGTTCTCTGCAAGGCAGATTCTGATGCTCCTGTGTCCCCCACCTTCTTAAGGATTATGGGGGCTAGAGGCCCTGAAAAAGGAAATAGAGATCTTGGAAGAGGCTGCGGGATTATAAGCCCCGCCTGACCCAATCACCCCATTTATTTGGCAGGGTATGGGTGCTAACGAAACATTTCTGCTTTCGGTTTTGATCCCTGCGGTACACACCTCCTGCTACTTCTTCCTCAAAACCCACCTTTCCTACCCAAACCTAAGCATCCTGGAAATTTTCTATACAAGATGGGACCATCAGCAGCCGCGGGTCACAATAGCTAAGTTGAACCTCCACATTCAAAGGCAGTCTATCTTTCAATATTAGTTGCGGGGGGGGGGCGCATTTTGCTTTTGCATTCTTATGGTTGCCCTGGGGGCACCTGATGGGCCTTTGTAGGAAACGGGATGCTCAGTTAGGTAGACTTTTTGGTTTGAGCTCGTTGGGCTTGTCTTAATGTGTTAATTGCATTTTCTTTCTTCGCCTTTTGGTATCCTTCTATCTCTTTGTAAGCTCCTTGGGGCAGGGATTCCCTCTTCCCTTCTGCTCATATTAACTGTAACATGCTACATGGATTAATGGCAGAATGTCATTTTATGTAATCAGGCTGCATTATCAGAGAAGGCAAGTTTTCAGGGGTATTATCCATCTGGAACAAAGCTTGCCGTCTAAACTTGATGTCTGTAGTGGAATATTTTGCATGTCTTGCCGAAGCAAGGCCTGGAATCATATGAGGATGCTGTAGCTTAATGATGGTTCGATTTGTTAAGGGCACAGCTGCCTTTGCCCGTCTCAGGGTGGTAGTCAACAAAGTTTTACTCCGAATAGACCCATTGAAATTAATGGACCAAATTCAGCCATGTTCATTCCTCACAGAGGATCATGCGCTGAGTAAAACTTAGTTGAATACAGTCATACCTTGGCTCCAGAACAAATCGGCTCCTGAACGATCGAAACCTGGATGTGAGTGTTCCGGTTTTCGAACTATTTTTGGAAGCCGAATATCCGGCGCGGCTTCCGATTGGCTGTAGGAGCTTCCAGTCAGCCAATCAGAAGCTGCACTTTGGTTTCCAAGTGTTTTGGGAGTCAAAGGAACTTCTGGAACGGATTCCATTTGACTCCCAAGGTATGACTGTACCACCCTAAGAGTCTTGGAGGGTAGGTCACTATTATTTCCCATTTCACAGGGAGAAAAACTGAGGCTGACAAATTTGCAGGTGTACCTAAGAGTGAGCTCCAATCCCCGGGCAAATTATTCGCTGGGTTCTACTGATTATTTGCTCAGAAAGTTTTTTTTAGAAAAGGATAAGTCGGATACAGAGTCTTGGAATTCCTGGGCATTTGTTCCTCCTTTAGTTCCTTTCAGAAATGATTGATCGACGGCATTTAACATCCTTTAAAATTATCATTACGGTGTTTTCACATTTGCCTTTTTACGCCTGCTGGCAGCGCGGTGTGGGAGGCGATCGTTAATCCTCTGAGAAAGGAACCTTGAAATCATGGGATGCGCACACAGATTTCCCGTTCAACTGATGGAGGGGAATTATACCCGTTTTAAAGCTTATCCGTTTAAAAGTGCTGTGCACGGAATCTGTTCCATTCAAAACAGGTTCTTTTCTTTTTGTTCCCACCCCCATTTTAAATGCAAGGTCTGCGGAAGCGAGGAAAAGGAAAAGAGTCCGTTTTTAATTTAATCCAGGCTTTGGCGGGTGGGCGGAGAAATAGAGCGGTTCGTGTCCAAGAACTTTTGTTGTAAGAAACTCACACACACACACAAAAACGCCACACCAACAAAAAAACTCTACATATCTTGCATAAAATGAAAGGGAAGGGAATTGTAGAAATCAGTAGGTGGCTAGGAAATCATTCTCCTGTCGCACAGACCTATGTTTACTGCAGCAAACAACTTCCTAAACTGTGCTTTGCCTAGTAACCCGTGTGTGTGTGTGTGTGTGTGTGTGTGTGTGTGTGTTTAACCCTTTCCTCGCTGTCATTTTCTCCCCTGCAACACGTTCCTTCCAGGCCATCTCTCCCCAAACAGCATTCAAGTCCGCAAATAAATCTGGTGGGGTTTGTGCAACAACTCGGACAGAGAGATGGTTGGAGGAGTGCAACAGTCAAGGGGAAAGGTTTATATCCCCCGCCCCGCTCACTTGCCCAGGGATTCTCCTGTACAAATGCCCCCGTCCTGTAGGGCATCTGCTTTGTGTGGTCAGAAGGTCTCGAGTTTGATTCCCAGCATTTCCAGGCGAGGCTGGCAAACCCCTGTGTAAAATATCCTGGAGATCTGCTGCCAGTCCGTGCCAGTGTTACTGAGCCAGATGGATCAAGACAGCTTTCTGTGGTCTTGTGTCTTGTATTGCAACCATGGGTTTGGGACATTCTGCTTTAGGAGTGGGGCTGTCGGGAGTTGAGATCTTGTGTGTCGGCAAGCTTGGTGCCCTGGACGCCACTGCTGCCAGGCGGGCCAGTTCCCTGCCTAGGATGGGGCAGCTGTAGACCTTGCTGGTGGTGCCACCTTAATGACAGAGAGACCTGCATCCACATTGAGATGCTGTTACTAGGGCGCTTGGGGAAGCCTGCTCCAGACCTCCCCAAACCTGGAGCTTCTCCCAAGCTGAATAATAGTAACGTCCCAGCCACTCTGGGCAGGTCCAACACATAAAAACAATATACAGTGGTACCTTGGTTCTGAAACTTAATCTGTTCCGGAAGTCTGTTCCAAAAACCAAAGCGTTCCAAAACCAGGGCGCGCTTTCCCATAGAAAGTAACGCAAAATGGATTAATCTGTTCCAGACTTTTAAAAACAAACCCTAAAACAGCAATTTAACATGAATTTTACGATCTAACGAGACCAATAAAATGAAAGCAATAAACAATGTACTGCAGTCACACAATCAGTCGCTGAACCGGGTTCCACACAGTCACAAAAACAAAACAAAAAGAGCCGCAAAAACAAAAAAGGCAAAATAAATAGCAAAAACAGACCGACCTCAGCGTAACACTCAAAACGGAAGTGTGGCACTCAGATTGGAAGGGTAACTCTCAAATCGTCACTGTAACACTCAAAACGGAAGCATAATACTCAAAACGTAAGTGTGGCACTCAAATCAGAAGTGTAACACTCAAAACAGCGCATGTTTGGCTTCCGAAAACAGTTCGCAAACCAAAACACTTCCGGGTTTGCAGTGTTTGGGTTCCAGGTTGCTTGAGTAGCAAGGCATTTGAGAACCAAGGTACCACTGTAACATCAAACATTAAAAACTTCCCTATCCAGGGCTGCCTTCAGATGTCTTCGAAAAGTTGTATAGTTTTTTATCTGTTTGACATCTGGGAGGAGGGCATTCCCTCGGCGCTGGACCTCGGCGTCCGGGCTGAATGATGGCGGTGGAGACGCTCCTTCAGGTATACAGGACTGGGGCCGTTTAGGGCTTTAAAGGTCAGCACCAACACTTTGAATTGTTCTCAGAAGCGTACTGGGAGCCATTGAAGGTCTTTTAGGACACTTAACTTAATGAAAAGTATGCAGGCTGTCAGTGTGGGATGTCACCTGAGTGCAAGGCCTCCGTGAAGTTTCAAATATCCTCTTTTTAAAAATTAACATTAGCGAGCATATGTGTACTTTTAAAAATGATTGTTAATATTTTATTAAGAGAATTTCAGTTAAAGGAAATAAAGAGGAGAAAGAGAGAAAGAAAGGGGGAGCAAAACAGTGCAGTGTTTTGTTTTTACAATATGTGCACTCCTGACAACAAATTTTAAAACGGAGCTGGCCTGCGCTTTGGTGCAAAGCGCTGGCGTTTATTGACGTACTTGACTTTAAAAACACAGACATACTGGAAAAGTTGCACAATATTTTACTAGAAACATTTGAAATACATGAGTGTTTGTGTGTGTGAGAGAGGGAAACACCCACAACAATCAAAGCTTAAAAATAAAATATTTATTAAAAACAGAACCCACAAAATGTTTATTGTTCCAAATTACACAAAATTAGCTGAATGTATTAATGAACTGAATTAGGAAGAACAGACTCCTCAAGACAGTCATGGAATACATTCCAGGTATTGCTTTGCGTGTTTACTCAGAAGCAAGTGGCACTAAACTAAAGGGAGATTACTTCCAAGTAAGAGTGCATGAGTTATTTTACAGACAGTGCAATTTACGATAGTTGTTGCTGCTTAACACTGGGGCAAACCAAAAAAACCCATTTATTTCTGTTAATAAAGATTGAGGAAATGGGACCAGAACACTAAGCAGATGTATGGCGAAGTAGATCGAATCAGTATCTTTACTACACCGCAGCAAGACAGGTTGGTAACTAGGGGTGGAGCAATAGCAATGATAATGTGATTAAAAAATAATAATAACACCAGACCCAAACCTGGAGCAGCCAAACACTTTCTGCATTTAAGAAATGAGGAAGGTAAAGGTAAAGGGACCCCTGACCATTAGGTCCAGTCGTGGCCGACTCTGGGGTTGTGGCGCTCATCTCACTCTACTGGCCAAGGGAGCCGGTGTACAGCTTCCGGGTCATGTGGCCAGCCTGACTAAGCCGCTTCTGGCGAACCAGAGCAGCGCATGGAAACGCCTTTTACCTTCCCGCCGGAGCGGTACCTGTTTATCTACTTGCACTTTGACGTGCTTTCAAACTGCTAGGTTGGCAGGAGCTGGGACGGAACAATGGGAGCTCACCCCGTCGTGGGGATTCGAACCGCCGACCTTCTGATTGGCAAGCCCTAGGCTCTGTGGTTTAACCCACAGCGCCACCCACATCCTAAGAAATGAGGAAACAGACGGTCTAATTGGTTATTAGTATAGGCTTAGGGATTCAGGGGCGCTGAATGGGGGACGAGACCCCCCCCCATTTTCAAGGAGGGTGCTGGGGTCCCTCAGTATTTTGTGGCCACAACGTGCCCCGCCAGGTCTACCTGCCACCGTGATGGGCCTTGGGCCTCCCTCCACCATGTGACATCACACACGTGTGTCGGGGGGCCCCCAGCGTTGGGCGGAACCCGGCACGTATGTCGGCGCTGTCCGCACCTCTGCTTTCCCCATGCCTAAAAGCACAGGTCCAGGCGGTTTCCCATTTGCCGCCCGGCACTTTCCCCAGGAAAACCCAGTTGGCATTTGGTCCGATTCAGCGATATGGTGCTGGTTTTCCAAGGAGAGAGGCAAACTGGAGTGTGGATGAGCCCTCAGTTCCCAAACTTGTGTCTGGGCTGGACCTCACTAGATGGAAAGTGGGCGCTCTCAGAATTTTTAATCTTTATAGATGACTAGCGTGTCAGGGATGGTTTTTCCCTCCTAAAAAGTAAGGGGAAATGTGTGTGCATCTTATGGAGCGAACGCAGGCTGCGCAGCTATCCCAGAAGTCAGAACAGCAAGAGGCATCGCTGCTTTTGCTGCGCAGCGATCCCTCTTGCTGTTCTGGCTTCTGGGATTCAGAATATTTTTTTTCTGGTTTTCCTCCTCCAAAAACTATGTGCGTCTTATAGAGCGAAAAATATGGTAGTTCTTTCCTCCCCAGCATAAGTTTATATAGTTTTGATGTTTTAAATCCAGCTTATGAGTCTCTGAACGGTTCAACCCAGAAAGAAACCGCCGTTTCAGGCAGAACCAGGCCATTGCTTCTTGATTTGCAATGAGGGGTAGTCACCTGAGTTTTACTCTCTGCGGTGGTTCCCCATCTGTGGAATGCTCCCCCTGGGGAAGTTCGCCTGGCACCTTCATTATACACCTTTAGGCGCCAGGCAAAAACATTCCTTTTTAACCAGGCCTTTGGGTGATCTGATTTATATCCTATGCTCTTTTAAAATGTGATTTTTTTGGGGGGGGGGGGGTTTGCTATTGGGCTGTTGTTTTTATTTTTATTAGTTATTTTGTGGTTTTATATCATGATTTTATTCTGTGAACAGCCCTGAGACCCCCCGGCAGTATATAAATTCAATCAATCAACAAAAATAAGACTCAAGAGGAAACCCATTGAAATCAATAAGCCTAACGAAGGGTTCATCCACACGGTCTTTTGTGAATAGTTTCTAGGCCCAGGTCCAAGTGATTGTGTGTGTGTTTTGTCCTGACACTTTCTCCAGGAAAACCCACTTTTTACTGCTGTATTGGAGTGAACGGCAATTGGGTTCCCCACAGATTGACATTTGCTCCGAATCAATGGTAAAATGGCAAGGCGATAGCCTTCCAGTTTGGTCGCCATCACATCCTCCCGTGAGCTGAATGAAGATGTCCATTATTTTTTGCACTTTTGATTCCTCTAGCATTCAACTTTGCTTCTTGTCCATGAGTTCTGGCGTTGTAAGAGGGAGAAAAAGTTTTGTCTGTCTACATTGGTGTTTTCCAAACTCTACTCCCCAGCTGTTTTCTGGACTACAACTCCAATCATCCCTAGTTGGCAAGACCAGTGGTCAGGGATGATGGGAATTGTAGTCTGAAAAAAACAGATGGAGACCCACGTTTGGGAAACCCTGGTCTATATCCTTTACTTGACTCTTCAAAGAGAGCACCACCCCATCCAAAAGAGGCTGGATCGCAGATTCTAGACCAGCTGCTCTCCAGGAGAGTGATAACCTCTGCATTGTGCACAGATCCTGTTCACATCTCTTCTGTTCTGGCACATAAGAAGATGATGGTTCTCAGTTCCGCAAATCCAATATCTAACTTCACCCCTGGCTTCCACCACAGTGTTAAATACTAAGCCATGTGGTTGGCGCTGTGGTCTAAACCACTGAGCCTCTAGGGCTTGCCGGTCAGAAGGTCAGCAGTTCGAATCCCCGCGACGGGGTGAGCTCCCGTTGCTCTGTCCCAGCTCCTGCCAACCTGGCAGTTCGAAAGCACGCCAGTACATGTAGATAAATAGGTACCACTGCGACGGGAAGGTAAACAGCGTTTCCATGCGCTCTGGTTTCTGTCACGGTGTTCCATTGCACCAGAAGCAGTTTAGTCCTGCTGGCCACATGACCCGGAATGCTGTCTGTGGACAAACGCCGGCTCCCTCGGCCTGAAAGCAAGATGAGCGCCGCACCCCATAGTCGCCTTTGACTGGACTTAACCATCCAGGGGTCCTTTACCTTTACTTTTTTTACTAACGCATGGGCTTTAATCGTCCCAGAGAAATAGACAACAACAAAACTTGCAGAGTCAAGAGGCCTTTCAGAATTCCTTCTATCCTCCTGTTCCACGTTTTTTGCTCCAGGTTGGTTTCCCAGGTATTAAGTCTAATGTAGTCCCAGGCAAAGAGCCAGGCAGAGCCATTGTCATTATTAATTAATGGCTAAGTTGCTGCAAATGGCCACATTGCAGATTAACTTTTTTTTTTAAGAGGGGGGAGGGAAGAATTGGGTCGGTCAAAGCTGAAATATAACAAAGACTTCTGTCCTGAAGGAGTGATTAAGCTAAAGCTTTGCTTTCTAGCCTGATTTGCCTGATAATCTGGTTGTTCTATAAACGCTCCCCAAGAGAAAGGAAGGAATTCTCTGCGTCAGCTCCCAGCGGTGCTCGCTTGGGCCGGGGGGTTCTGCAAAATGACTTTCTTCCATTCTTAGGCACGGCAGAAACTACCCCGAAGGCCTTCTGTGGACCTGGGAGCAATTGGTGTTTTGCAGAAAATCTAGTTATTGCCCAGGACCAGAAACAGGTGGTGCAGGAGTGCTTAATTCCATGCATCCACCACCAGTCACTGAACGACCACATGCACAACGTTCTTTTAAAGCGCTATGATTCCACTTTAAACAGTCATGGCTACCCGCAAAGAATTCTGGGAGCTGTAGTTTAAGCACCCTAAGAGTTGCTAGGGAAGACCCCCCCCCCTTCCTGGTTCCTTTCACAGAGCTACAATTCTCAGTCGCTCTTCATGGGGAACTCTGGGAATTTTAGCTCTGAGTAGGATGGGGCCTGCTAGCAACTCTCGGCACCTTTAACCAAAGCTACAGCTCTCAGAATTATTTGGGTGAAGCCATGACTGTTTAAAGTGGAATCATAGCGCTTTAAAAGAACGTTGTGCATGTGGTCGTTCAGTGGTAAAGGTAAAGGGGACCCTGACCATTAGGTCCAGTCGTGGCCGGCTCTGGGGTTGTGGCACTCATCTCGCTTTATTGGTCGAGGGAGCTGGCGTACAGCTTCCAGGTCATGTGGTCAGCATGACTAAGCCGCTTCTGGCGAACCAGAGCAGTGCACGGAAATGTCGTTTACCTTCCCGCTGGAGCGTTACCTATTTATCTACTTGCACTTTGACGTGCTTTCGAACTGCTAGGTTGGCAGGAGCTGGGACTGAGCAACGGGAGCTCACCCCGTCGCGGGGATTCGAACCGCCGACCTTCTGATCGGCAAGTCCTAGGCTCTGTGGTTTAACCCACAGCTCTAGTGCTTTAAATTTATGGTGTGCATCTGGTTCGAAGCTGATGCATTGATATAAGCATCCTGCAGTTAAAGCTGCTCTTGTGTCTTGAATTGGGAAGGGGAGGAGATGGCTTCCAATAGGAACCTGGCTTAACGCTCATCGTTTTATAGGAAAGACCACTTAAATGATTCATACCGAGAATTTAGATAAGGCTCACGTTTCCCTGTTTAGCACAGTTTCCCCATTAATAAGGAAAATTGGAAATTTATCACTCAGATCTCCTCATTAAAACCCGCTCCCTCTCCCCTTTCTCATCATGAAAATGAGAAAAGAAGCAAAAGAGAAGAATCCTCTGCATGGAGGGTCTTTGCAAGGCCTAACAGAGAAATCATGATTATTCACTTTTTCTGTATTTGCACTTGGGCTGAGCGCATCTCCCCGAATTCATTAATGGGGGAGCTTTAACCTCAGCGGCTGTTGAATTGCTGCTATTCCTGGGCTGGGGAATCTGTGGCCCTCCAGACCTTTGCTGGACTTCAGTTCCCAGCATCCTTGACTGCTGGCCAGGCAGGCTGGGGTTGATGGGAGTTGGAGTCCAGTGACATGTGGAGGCCTGCAGGTTCTCCAAGCCTGTGCTAATCATGTACATTTGGAAACAACTGGAACATGGCAGCTAGAGTGGTGATTGGGAGTGGCTGCTGAGACCATATAACACCGGTCCTGAAAGGCCTACATTGGCTCCCAGTACATTTCAGGGCACAATTCAAAGTGTTGGTGCGGACCTTTAAAGCGCTAAATGGCCTCGGTCCAGTCTATCTGAAGGAGCGTCTCTCCCCCCCCCCCATTTTTCTGCCCGGACAGTGAGGTCCAGCTCCAAGGGCCTTCTGGTGGTTCCTTCACTGTGAGAAGAGAAGTTACAGGGAACCAAGTAGAGGGCCTTCTCGGTGGCGGCGCCCGCCCTGTGGAACGCTCTCCCACCAGATGTCAAGGAAATAAACAACTATCTGACTTTTGGAAGACATCTGAAGGCAGCCCAGTTTGATGTTTTACTGTGTTTTTAATATTCTGTTGGGAGCTGCCCAGAGTGGCTGGGGAAACACAGCCAGATGGGTGGGGTATATTATAATAATAATAATAATAATAATAATAATAATAATAATAATAATTACACAGGAATTGGCTTCCTACTCTTGAAGAGGCAGGATCAGGCAGCTTTTTTATATAGCAGGTGACAGCTGCAACCCAAGTCTTCCTTCTGTCAAGCTCCGTTCTCACGTCGAGCAATCGGCCTGCTTGATCGTGTCCTTTCTCCTTTGCTTTTAGCCATGGCAGATTCATATTCCTACAGAGGTGGAAAGAAAGTGGCTGGATCTAGCAAGACCAGCGCAGACAAAGACAGCAGCAAGGCAGAGATGAAGATAAACCCGGCGTATGAGCAGTCGAGGCTTGGTGAGTAAGCGGACCACCTTTTCCAGCTACAATGGGAAGGGCTTCGTTTGAATTAAGAGAAGCGCCATTGGCTAGGGAAACCAAAACTGGGCCCTCAATATGTTGTTGGGCTACAACTCTTGACGTTACCAATGGTCCGGGGTGATGGGAGTCTGAAACGCGGAAGGTGTCTTCCTGGCTACCTGTTTCCCGGCAGTGCAAGGAAATAAATACAGTGGTACCTCGGGTTACAGACGCTTCAGGTTACAGACTCCGCTAACCCAGAAATAGTACCTCGGGTTAAGAACTTTGCTTCAGGGTGAGAACAGAAATCGCGCGGCGGCAGCGGGAGGCCCCATTAGCTAAAGTGGTGCTTCAGGTTAAGAACAGTTTCAGGTTAAGAACGGACCTCCGGAATGAATTAAGTTCTTAACCCGAGGTACCACTGTAGCTAGGAAGCACATACAGGTCAGGGTACTTGATAAATTAACGCTTTGGTTAAATAAAAGGTACAGTCATACCTCATGTTATGTTTGCTTCAGGTTGAGCGTTTTCAGGTTGCGTCCCGCGGTGACCTGGAAGTAACGGAACGGGTTACTTCTGGGTTTCGCCACTCGCGCATGCGCAGACATGCAAAATCATGCGCAGAAGCGGCAAATCACAACCCGTGCATGCGCAGATGCGGGTTGCGTTCTGTTCAGGTTGCAAACGGTCCTCCGGAACAGATCCCATGTTCAACCAGAGGTACCACTGTATTCCATTGCCTACCAGCAAATGTTGTCCCCCACTGAAACAAAACCCAGTACTTTGGAATAGCAACTCAGATTGGAAATGGCCGTTCTCAAGTTTTTTGAACTTTGACGAGTTGAGAACACAGTTGGCTTCCAATATCGGGGGTGGTTCCTGCTCAAGTTGCCATTGCCCTTATTCAGCAAACTGTCTGAACTTCCACAATCTAAATTGGTTAGGCTGTTGCCTTCCGTTCAAAACGTACTCATAGAATCGCGGAAGGGGCATCCAAGGGTCATCTAGTTCAACCCAGGCCATGCAGGGATCTCAGCCACCCAACCTTTCTGTGCGGCATTAACAACATTGCACGTGGGAACAACAAGCAGCCTAGGCAGGGTCGAAAGAGATGCTTTCTGCTCGTATGAAAGCACATCCGACCAACATTATAGGTCTGGTAGGTCTTTTTCGTTTTCAAGTTTACAAGAACGCGCTGCGGAAAGGGCACTAAACAACGCAAGTGAGCAAGAATGCAGTGCAGATTCAGTAGCCTGTGCTAGTTAGCTAGAACACTCTGCATATAGTGTGCAGAGTGTTTGAGGACCGGGACATTTGCAGGGAAACCAAAATGCTTGTTTACAAAGCTATTGTACTACCAACCTTGACTCTATGCTTGTGAAACATGGACCACTTATAAACACCATCTCCAACTCCTCAAAAGATTCCATCGGTGGAGTCTCCAAAAAATTTTGCACATCACTTGGGAAGACAGGCAAACTAATGCCAGTATACTGGAAGAAGCAAAGATCACCAGTGTTGAAGCAATGATTCTTCAACATCAACTTTGTTGGACTGGTCATGTTGTGCGGATGCCTGATTGTCGTCTTCCAAAGCAACCGCTCTATTTCGAACTCAGAAATAGAAAGCGTAATACTGGTGGTCAACAAAAGACGTTTAAAGACTCTCTCAAGACAAATCTTTTAAAAATGCAGTATAAACACTGCCAATTGGGAAACACTAGCCTGTGAGCGCTCCAATAGGAGAATAGCCTTTACCAAAGGTGTCATGGGCTTCGAAGACGCTTGAACTCAGGACAAAAGGGAGAAACGTGCTAAGAAGAAAGCATGCTTGGCAAACCTTCACCGTGATTAACTCTCGCACAGAAACCTATATCCTCACTGTGGAAGGACGTGTGGATCCAGAATTGGCCTCCACAGTTACTACTGACTCCCTGTTAAAACTGTGTTCATGGAAGACAGTCTTACTCAGCTGCGAGTTATCGCCAAAGAAGAAGTGTGCTCAGCGCCAAGTCTTCTTTGTCATGCAGTAGAAAGCATTTTAAATCAGTGGACATCCAACAAAATGTAAGATGGACGGATGTATTAATTCAATCCACCATGTCATTCTTCCCCATTCTGTTTGCAGGAAATGCAACTAATGATAAAACGGAAGGCAAAAGGAAAGGGAGGCCGAAGGCAGACAGCCAGGCCCTGAAGGATATTCCGGTAAGATTTTAATCGTATTTCATTTCTTTTCTTGGGAACTGGGGAAAAGGAAGTAGAGGCAGGATAGGACAAGCTTGGTGCATTTGAGCGCAGGAGGGGGCCTGATTCTGTTCCCAGGTCTTTTCTCTGGGAAGCCTTTGATTTGATGTGAGATACTGGGGTTTGTGTGTTCAGAAATTTTGCTTTCATTTCTCTTGCATTAAGTGAGTCTTTTCCCCTCCCCTCTGCTCCTATATCACAGCTGCCTCTGATGAACCAGTGGAAAGAAGAGTTCAAGGCCCACTCCAGGGTAAAATGCCCCAACTCGGGCTGTTGGCTCGAATTCCCCAGCATCTATGGCCTGAAGTACCACTACCAGCGCTGTCAAGGGGTAAGGAGGATGGAGGTGTGTGTTCTGATTTGGTAACCCATATTTACCACTTGTGTTACTGTCTGTGCCAAATGTGGCCCCTCTTCACACTGCTTTGACCCTGCCAGAGCTTGGCTGTCTTAATTTATATCATGGGTAGGCAAACTAAGGCCCGGGGGCCGGATCCGGCCCAATCGCCTTCTAAATCCGGCCCGCGGATGGTCCGAATCAGTGTGTTTTTACATGAGTAGAATGTGTGCCTTTATTTAAAATTCATCTCTGCGTTATTTGTGGGGCATAAGAATTCGTTCATTGTTTTCCCCCCCAAAATATAATCCGGCCCCCCGCAAGGTCTGAGGGACAGAGGACCCCTGCTGAAAAAGTTTGTTGACCCCTGATTTATATGCATACAGACACTTAGGGAAGTGGGAGAAGAAATTCGATTCAATTAGCATTTAAAAGGCAAACATACCAAATTTGCACCTTCCGAAACAATGCATGAATCAAAAGGCAGCCAGCCTTTTTGCAATGCAGTTCCCCGGCCCCAGTGTGCACAGGAAGGCATCTTAGTTTTCAAAAAAAATGTGCAATGTCAGGGAAGATTGCTTTGCAAAAAGGAGAATTTGCACTAAAACGCTGAGGAAGTCATAAGGACTTTAAAAAAATAATCACAAACTGATGTGGAAAATTGGAGGACTGAATTTAAGATTAGGAAAGAGAGAAACTCAAGAGAAACCAAAACAGAAATATTTCCCCATCTCTGCACACCAACCCACAAGCCTTGGCCGTTTGGTCACTGTTATTTTAACGCAGAAGTTGCATTATAAGAGCAAATTACGAATCTTGCCCGCTGTGGTTTCTGATGTTGCTGCCACAAGGCGGTGTCAGGGAACTGCCATCGGAGCTAGAGGCGGAGGGAAGGCTCCAGAGGGATGCCGGGGAAGGTCCCAGTAGGGAAAGAGGCAGCCCATCTGCTGGGGAAGGAAATCAGCGTAACACCAGTGGAGAAGGGGGGCAGATGGGGGAATCGGAGAGGAGGCTCCAAGACTCCTTGCCGGAGACCAGCGGAGAGAGTACGGGTCCTCCGCTGCCCACACCCTCCCTGCGCAGAAGGCTTCCGCGCAGGGAGACTAGGCGGAGACTAGGCGTCAAAGAACTTTTGTGCTGGAAGAAGTTCAAGAAACGCCCACTGACGGATTCTGCCAGCGACTGAGACAGCCACGAAGCTAGAGGCTGTCCAGTCAGAAAGGGTTCAACCAGGTAACCTAGCCAGGAGTGGCGGCAACTTACGCATGAGCAACCCCTAAACCCATTACAGGCGGGTTCTGAACTAACTAGCCAGTCATTTGCCGTTTGGCTTCTAGTACCATTTGAAGCCACAGAGGTATTTAGATTTTGCTGCCTTACAATGTGCTAGAAAACCGGTCCATCTAGTTCAGTATTGTCTACCCAGACTGACAGCAGCTTGCCAGGGTTTCAGGCAGAGGACAGCCCTCCCTGGAGATGCCTTGAAGACTAAATTAGGCATGTTCTGCTTGCAAAAGAGGTGCTCTGCCACTGAGCTACCCCTGTCCTCTAATTCGCCTGCATGTAGGATACTTTGATGTGCATCTTCTTCCCTTATGAATTCCTCCCTGCTTCCCAAACAAAAAATGCTTGGAAAAGCCTTGCTCCAGTTGCCATCCATTCATAACTACTGCAATGCACTCTATGTGGGGCTGCCTTTGAAGGTGACCCGGAAACTACAACTAATCCAGAATGCGGCAGCTAGACTGGTGTCTGGGAGCGGTCGGCGAGACCACATAACACCAGTCTTGAAAGACCTACACTGGCTCCCAGTACGTTTCCGAGCACAATTCAAAGTGTTGGTGCTGACCTTTAAAGCCCTAAACGGCCTCGGCCCAGTATACCTGAAGGAGCGTCTCCACCCCACCTCGTTCAGCCTGAGGTCCAGCGCCGAGGGCCTTCTGGCGGTTCCCTCACTGCAAAAAACCAAGTTACAGGGAACCAGGCAGTGGGCCTTCTCAGTGGTGGCACCCGCCCTGTGGAACACCCTCCCACCAGATGTCAAAGAGAACAACAACTACCAGACTTTTAGATGACATCTGAAGGCAGCCCTGTTTAGGGAAGCTTTTAATGTTTAAGGCATTACTGTATTTTAATATTGTGTTGGAAGCCGCCCAGAGTGGCTGGGGAAACCCAGCCAGACGGGCGGGGTATAAATAATAAATTATTATTATTATTATTAAATACAGGCGTCTCCCAGCCTGTGCAGGGCTTCATTCCCGACAACCGCACGCAACCCGGGATGTGTGCGAGTGGGGTTCTCCCCTGTTGCACCCTTGCCTCCTTTCAGTGCTGAAAATGGCTAGCATGTCTGCAGGAGCACGCATGCAGCTCCTTTGCAAGTGGGGAGTTGCTTGTACACACACAGAGGAAAAGAGCTAGAGATTCTGTTCCCACAGTGGCCAACCAGCTGCTTATAGGAAGCCCACAACAAGGGACCTGAGGGCAGTAGCTCTCTCCCCCCTTGCGATGCCTGCATTATACAGAGGCATCCTGCCCTGCAACTTAACTTTCTCAGATCCCGGAGAAGGACTTGGTCAGGAGCAACATCATAGTGGCTGCAAACCCCTCTTCCAAAGGAGACCTGATGCGTCTCACTTTATCGCGCCTTCGAAGAGCAAAGCTTCCCTGCTTAGACAAGTTTGGGCAATTGTTTGAAGTGCGAATTAACTTCTTCTGGGACACTGTTGTTTGCGCTCTTCTGCACTGTTCCGTTTACTTTGCATTTATGTTATTTTGTCAAATGCTTATTGATACGCTCCAAGTTGCTTTGAGCTTGGAAGGGAAATCGTAGCCGGAGGAGCAGGAAGGAAATGCCCAAACTTGCCTAAGCGGGGAAATTTTTAGGATTACAGTTCAGTAACAGGAGTTCCCATTCATACCTCTGGCCTGCAGGGTTTTGGGTTGAGTGATGTTTATACTGTGGATTCTGTGATCATTCAGTACAAGTGAAGAAATTGGTTTGTATCCTAGGAATGTCAGATTTCATGTTATGGGGGGGGGGGGCAGAAAAACATGCAAGACCTTAAGCTTAAATTAAATGTCCATGCCTTAAAGTTTGGGGGCAATGTCTGATAAATAGAAGAGAATCCAGCTTGTGGGACTACTGACAATGAATTACTCAACATAAGCACAGCGTATTTATTTGCTTTTTAATTCATTAACTACCTACACAGTCCATGTGGATACATACCAAATGTGTTTCATTTGCATAGCTCCAGGCAGATTGTGAAGTTCAGATGTTTTGGCAGAGAATTTGGGTTACCATGGCGCAGGGGTGGATAGGGAGAGGTTTGCAAGGACACAGCGTGCAGCCAATGAACTGATCATTCATTAGATATATGTTGCAGGCCTCCTGACATTTTAAAAATTTAGAAAGGTGATCCTGATTGACAAAGCAGCAGTGTGTGTGTGTGTGTGCACTTTTGAATTGTTATTTATATTTTAATATCCTTGCAAACTCAGAGGAGGCAATCTCCCTTTCCCCCTCTTTCACAGGAATATAAGAAACTGCTTTATCCCAGGTCAGATCATTGGTCCATCTTTTAAGTGCCCCACACAAGAAATAATAATAATAATAATAATAATATATTTATGCCCCATCCATCTGGCTGGGTTTCCCTAGCCGCTCTGGGCAGCTCCCAACAGAATATTAAAAACACAATAAAATATCAAACATTAAAAACTTCCCTAAACAGGGCTGCCTTCAGATGTCTTCTAAAAGTCAGATAGTTGTTTATTTCCTTGACATCTGATGGGAGGGTGTTCCACAGGGCGGGCGCCACTGCCGAGAAGGCCCTCTGCCTGGTTCCCTGTAACTTGGCTTCTCACAGCGAGGGAACCACCAGAAGGCCCTCGGCGCTGGACCTCAGTGTCCGGGCAGAACGATGGGGGTGGAGACGCTCCTTCAGGTCTACTGGGCCGAGGCCATTTAGGGCTTTAAAGGTCAGCACCAACACTTTGAATTGTGCTCGGAAACGTACTGGGAGCCAATGTAGGTCTTTCAGGACTGGTGTTATGTGGTCTTGGCGGCCGCTCCCAGTCACCAGTCTAGCTTCCGCATTCTGGATTAATTGTACTTTCCAGGTAAAACAGAGAGAGAATGCTATGACGTATTTTGTTCCGATGCGAATGTATGTAGATGCAATGTCTTAAAAGTCATATGCTTAGTTAGAATCGTGGAACTGTAGAGTGGTAAGGGACCCAAACTTGACTCTTGGGTTGCCCTCGTTTTTAAGCACAGCCCTTCCTTCTCCCTCTCCCTCCTTCTTCCAGGGCGCTGTCGTGGAGAAGCGGACTTTCTCGTGCCCGTTCTGCGAAGCCGCCTTCACGTCCAAAACCCAGCTGGAAAAGCACCGCCTCTGGAACCATCTCGACCGGCCGTTGCCGGCTGCTGCTGCCCCGGTGGAAAACAGGTCTCCGAAAGTCTCCGGCAAGGGCAAGAAAAGGTACTGGCCTGAAGTCTTTGAGGCAGGGAAGAGGGAAAGCTCCCCGACCCCGTGGGTTTTGGGATGGAAGGAGGGGGTCAGGCGTGAGAGGCCCCGATGTCTTAAACCCCGCTTTAAACCAGCCCTCTATGCTTTGCCCTAGAGCTGCCGAGGGTTCAGCTTCCCTCACCATCCATCCCAAACAGGCAAAGGTGGAGAAGGTCGTTGCCCTGCACCGCCCCGAGAACGGAGAATGCGCGGCCGTGAGCCCAGGCAGCAAAGACTTCCAGACCAGGGCGGCCGCCATGCCTGGCGCTCAGCTGTCGGGCGGCAAAAGCTCCAAGCATCAGTCGAGCAGGCAGGCCTCTGAGCAGGAGGAAGACCCCGAGAGGATGAAGCACAGTAAGACTAGAACAGCGACTCCCGTCCACCCCAAGTCCCGGGTTTCCCCTGCCCAGTTTAAGATTTGAAGCATGCGCTACGGTATTCGTGGTAGAAGTTTGTGAAATCAAGCAGAATCTTAGAGCTGCAAACGGGCCCGAGGGTCATAAGGTCCAACCCCTTGAAATTGAAGTACAGTGGTACCTCAGGTTACATACACTTCAGGTTACAGACTCCGCTAACCCAGAAATAGTGCTTCAGGTTAAGAACTTTGCTTCAGGATGAGAACAGAAATCGTGCTGCGGCGGCAGCAGGAGGCCCCATTAGCTAAAGTGGTGCTTCAGGTTAAGAACAGTTTCAGGTTAAGTACGGACCTCCGGAACGAATTAAGTACTTAACCTGAGGTACCACTGTACTTACTTGTCACTTGTACAACTTGTATAGAGTGAGATTACACGAGCACCCCCCACTCAGCTCTCTTAGCCTTAATTCCCCTCGTTTACTGATGCACACCCAACAAACCCAAAAGTCAGTTGCCCTGTTGTTATTTTTTCACTCAGCACCTTAACAGCCCATGGATAGAAGCTCTTCTTTACCCTGTTGGTGTGACCAATCATGCTTCTATATCTTCTGCTCGAGGGCAGGAGATCAAGAAAGTGCCGGCCAGGGCGTGAATCATCCCCGATAATTTTCCTCACTCTCCTGAGGCAACGTTCTTCCGCTATTTCATCCAGCGGATTCGCGGGACAGCCCATAATATCTTGTGCTGTATTCACCACCCTCTGTAGGCACTTCCTATCAGTTGATGTCAAATCAGCGTACCACACCGTGATGCAGTATGAAAGGACACTTTCTATTGTTGACTGGTAGAAGGAGATCATCAGATGTTGTTTGACATCATTCTTCCTCAATACTCTGAGGAGATGGAGTCTCTGTTGGGCTTTCTTAACCACCGGGGTTGTATTGATTTTCCAAGAAAGATCTTCACTGAGATAAACTTCTAGGAATTTAAAGGAAGAGTTTATCTCAGTGAAGACTTACTTGGAAAATAAATGCAGGAATCTCATCTAAAGCATCCATGTCAGATGGCCTCTGCTTCCATCCAACCTCTGCTTAAAATTCTCCAAGGAAAAGGGAGTCTGTTCCACGGCTGAACACCTCTTACTATCAGAATGTTCTTCCTGATGTTGGAATCTCCTTACAGTCATATCTCGAGTTGCGTTTGTTTCACGTTGCGTTTTTTCAGGTTAACGAACGCGGCAAACCTGGAAGTGTTTACTTCTGGGTTCGTCGCTCCGTGCATGCGCAGGAGCGATCTGTGCGCTTCGTGCATGCGCAGGAGCACTCTTATCGTGTCACGCACAGAAGTGGTGCTCTACTTACGGACTTTTTGGGGTGCAAACGGCACCCCGGAATGGATTGTGTGCATAAGTAGAGGTACCACTGTGCTTGTAACTTGAAGCCATTGGTTCGAGTCCTCCCCTCCAGAGCAGGAGAAAACAAGCTTGCTCCATCTTCCATGGGGAAACTCTTTAGATATCTGAAGATGGCTCTCCTTTCTCCCCCCAGTCTCCTCTTTTCCAGGCTAAACACACCCAGCTCCTTCAACCACTCCTCATAAGGCTTAGTTTCCAGACCCTTGGTCACCTTGGTTGCCCTCTTTGCCATGGCATGGAGAAAGAGGCTACAGAAAAGCTCTTCTCCTCCTCTCGTAACACTAGAAATCGTGGGCATCTTTAATGCTGGAGGATTCAGGACAGATGGAAGGAAGGACTTCTTCCCACAGCCCATAGCTAAACTCTGGAACTGAACGCCGCAGGAGACAGGGATGGCCACCGAAAGGGCTGCCACAAAATTTATCACAAGACATGGCACACGTGCACCATTTGAATGCCCCCCCCATGCATTTGAAGAGCGCTATTGAATCTTCATCTCATTCTTCTGTTCTCCGAGTTAAACATGCCCAATTTCTTCGTTCTTTCCTCATAGGACTAGTTTTCCATGGCTGTTCCTGCTGTTGCTTGAAAAAGTGTGTTTCTAGTTCTCATGACTGTGGGGATAGGCTTGGAAGCCTATGCGCAGTGAGAAGCCAGGGGGGACAAAAGCCAAGCAGGGCTTTCTTTTCTGTGTTCCGGAATAAGATTTCAGCCCTGTGCTTATTCCCTGGGGAGTGAAGCAGCAGAATAAATTAGGCAAAAAAGGGGCTTCACTGAAATGCTGAGTTGCTCTATGTAGACAGGGGTGTTGCACTCTGAGCTTACCGTGCAGGTGTTTGACCAAGTTTTTATTTCTGTTTTCTCCTTTTTGAGTTAGGAAGGAAACAGAAAACTCCTAAGAAATTTACTGGAGAGCAGCCGTCCATCTCCGGAACATTTGGACTGAAAGGTAAATGACGAGTCATATGCGTTCCTGTTCTTGGGAAGTATTTTGTAGAGTATTTCGAATTTCCTGCCTCAGTTTCATGGAGAGCCCTTTGTGTGTTGCAGAGGATTCTGGGAAATATTATAGGCCGTTGCCTTTGGTTTAAGCAGGGCACACACCACCACTTGGAGCTGCTGTTACCTGGCATGAAGCGAGAGCACATCCTGAAATATGTATTTCAGGAGAACATCAGCCGTGACGGGCAAAATATCTTTGCAAGAAGTTTGTCCAACATTGCTACAGTTATCACAGGGAGACCTTGGGCTCATGCAGCACATAATTAAACTATGGAACTATGGATATGTATAATTTTATAATATGCAGAGGAAGTATGTGAAGAGAAATCAGGGAGAGAAGCTGAGGGAAGTCCTTGGTTTGGGGGGGGAGAAATAATGTATGTGATTATATGGTTTGATAATTTGTTATGTGGAAATTGATCAATAAAAAATGTTTTTTTAAAAAAACAAACAAACTATGGAACCCACCAACACAAAATGTGACAATGGCTTCACTAGGGGATTAGACAACTTCATGGAGGGGGTTAAGAACGGCAACTAGTCCTTGTGACTTTGGCTACCTCCACACGGTAGTTTATTCCATTTTCACGCCGTTTCCCTAACTGTTGATTTTCACATTTGTTGTTGTTGTTTAGTCGTTTAGTCGTGTCCAACTCTTTGTGACCCCATGGACCAGAGCACGCCAGGCACTCCTGTCCTCCACTGCCTCCCACAGTTTGGTCAAACTCATGCTGGTAGCTTCGAGAACACTGTCCAACCATCTCATCCTCTGTCATCCCCTTCTCCTTGTGCCCTCCATCTTTCCCAGCATTTTGGATGTACATTTCCAAAATATAAGATAACAAACAAATAAAATAAAACCTACATACAGCAACCGTGTTTTGTGTTGTGTAGGCTCCTAGGATGTAAGTCATGGGCCCCGCCTGCTAGCCTGCTCCCTAAAATATCCCTGGTTTGCTCATTTCTATATATAGGGTGCCTACATTCTGCATGGACTGGTTGCACGGCAACACATGCAAATGGCTTTAGATACCTATCAGGTCCATAAATTACCATATAGCATATATTCAACACAAAAAACAGCGGCAATTTGTTGTTGAAAAAGGACAGCTGGACATATAAAGTGCCCCATTACCTTCAGTAGCTTAGGGCCTCATCAAACCTAAATCCGGCCCTGCAGCTGGGGTAGAGGAAGGCGCCCAGCTGTCAAAGGCTCGAGTCGGGTGCATGTCAGCAGCAAGAAATAATAAATCTCCGAAGGCCAGTGGAATTAAAAACTTATTCAAGGAGGTCTTGCCTCAATGACGCTGTTATGAGGACTGAAAGTCTTGACCTTCTTCTATCTGACAGACCTTCAAGTATTTGTTGCTGTTGTTGTTTAGTCGTGTCCAACTCTTCATGACCCCATGGACCAGACCACGCCAGGCACTCCTGTCTTCCACTGCCTCCCGCAGTTTGGTCAAACTCATGCTGGTAGCTTCGAGAACACTGTCCAACCATCTCATCCTCTGTCGTCCCCTTCTCCTTCTGCCCTCCATCTTTCCCAGCATCAGGGTCTTTTCCAGGAGTCTTCTCTTCTCATGAGGTGGCCAAAGTCTTGGAGCCTCAGCTTCAGGATCTGTCCTTCCAGTGAGCACTCAGGGCTGATTTCCTTAAGAATGGATAGGTTTGGTCTTCTTGCAGTCCATGGGACTCTCAAGAGTCTCCTCCAGCACCATAATTCAAAAGCATCAATTCTTCGGCGATCAGCCTTCTTTATGGTCCAGCTCTCACTTCCATACATCACTACTGGGAAAACCATAGCTTTTACTATACGGATGTTTGTTGGCAAGGTGATGTCTCTGCTTTTTAAGATGCTGTCTAGGTTTGTCACTGCTTTTCTCCCAAGAAGCAGGCGTCTTTTAATTTCGTGGCTGCTGTCACCATCTGCAGTGATCATGGAGCCCAAGAAAGTAAAATGTCTCACTGCCTCCATTTCTTCCCCTTCTATTTACCAGGAGGTGATGGGACCAGTGGCCATGATCTTCGGTTTTTTGATGTTGAGCTTCAGACTATATTTTGCGCTCTCCTCTTTCACCCTCATTAAAAGGTTCTTTAATTCCTCCTCACTCTCTGCCATCAAGGTTGTGTCATCTGCATATCTGAGGTTGTTGATATTTCTTCTGGCTATCTTAATTTGGGCTTGGGATTCATCCAGCCCAGCTTTTCACATGATGAATTCTGCTTCTAAGTTAAATAAGCAGGGAGACAATATACAGCCTTACCATACTCCTTTCCCAGTTTTGAACCAATCAGTTGTTCCATATCCAGTTCTAACTGTAGCTTCTTGTCCCACATAGAGATTTCTCAGGAGACAGATGAGGTGATCAGGCACTCCCATTTCTGATTTTCACATTATATTGGCACTCACTTCCACATTATTTGCAAATGAATTCCCTCCCCTCCTCCCCAGAAGCAAATAACACGGAAATGAGCGCTAAGCTTGCACCTACGTTCCATTATTGTTCCAGAAGGAGCTTTTTCCCCCATGTGAAAGCTCAAACAAAATGTAGAACATAACCGTCGGGGGAAAGTCTAGATTAGGTTAGATTACTGAAATGTGTTATACGTGGGGCTGCCTCTCAAGGCTGTTTGGAAAGTCCCGCTGGTGCAGAATTCACTGGGAAGACAGTTTGAGCATATTACACAGATCCTGGCTCAACTGCGCTGGCTGCCAATTAGTTTCTAGGTCCAATTCAAAGTGCTGGATATGACCTATAAAAACTTAAAACTGCTCGGGACCTCAAGGACCCCTTCTCCTCATATGAACCTGCTCAGACTCTGCGATCATCATCTGAGACCCTTCTCTATGTATCGTTTTGAACATGGGATTGGTTGTTCCTGCCTGTTGTAGCATATCCATGGAGCTGTCCATGGAGACACAGGTCAATTCTGTGTCCAGGGCAGCTGTTTACCAGCTCCATCAGGTACGCAGGCTGACCCGACCTGTGCCTCACCATAGTGGTGCATGCTCTGGTTATCTCCCGCTTGGACTACTGCAATGCGCTCTACGTGGGGCTACCTTTGAAGGTGACCCGGAATCTACAACTAATCCAGAATGCGGCAGCTAGGCTGGTGACTGGGAGCAGCCACCGAGACCACATAACACCGGTCTTGAAAGACCTACACTGGCTCCCAGTACGTTTCCGAACACAATTCAAAGTATTGGTGCTGACCTTTAAAGCCCTAAACGGCCTCAGTCCAGTATATCTGAAGGAGCATCTCCACCCCCATCGTTCTGCCCAGACACTGAAGTCCAGCGCCGAGGGCCTTCTGGCAGTTTTCTCACTGCGAGAAGCCAAGTTACACGGAACCAGGCAGAGGGCCTTCTCAGTGGTGGCACCCGCCCTGTGGAACGCCCTCCCACAAAATGTCAAAGAGAACAACAACTACCAGACTTTTAGAAGACATCTGAAGGCAGCCCTAGTTAGGGAAGCTTTTAATGTTTGATGTATTACGGTATTTTAATATTTTGTTGAAAGCCGCCCAGAGTGGCTGGGGAAGCCCAGTCAGATGGGCGGGGTATAAATAATAAATTACAGTGGTACCTCAGGTTACATACGCTTCAGGTTACAGACTCCGCTAACCCAGAAGTATTACCTCGGGTTAAGAGCTTTGCTTCAGGATGAGAACAGAAATCGTGCAGCGGCGGTGTGGCAGGCCCCATTAGCTAAAGTGGTGCTTCAGGTTAAGAACAGTTTCAGGTTAAGAACGGACCTCTGGAATGAATTAAGTTCTTAACCCGAGGTACCACTGTATTATATTATTATTATTATTATTATTATTATTATTATTATTACTATTATCTGCCATATGAGCAACGCTAGGCCTGCTTTTCAGGAAGGAACCACTCAGCCTGTCCTCTTCCAAAAGCAAAATCCTTCCTCTTCTCCAGGGCTGGCGAAAGCAGAGGACAAGGCGAAAGCACACCGGGCAAAGAAACTGGAGGCGTCTCTGAGCAGCGCCGGCAATGAAGACCTGAAGAAGAAAACGCCGGGGTCCGGTGTGAGAAAGGATGCGGTCCCGACAGCAGCAGCTCCTTCTGCAACAGGTTTGACCCTTTTCACAGAACCCTTTCCATTCCGAGGGCCACATTCCCTTCTGGGTGGGGCCACAGGCAAAGTGGGGAGAGCTGCAATTGCAAACGTTTGCTTTGGACAGTAGGCTAGTTTCTCAACACGCACTCACACATCCCTCACCGTCCCCCGTCCAGGCAAGCTAGAGTCACAGCCAGGGTTCAAGGACGCAGCTGAGACAGGCAGGAATGCCAGAGGAGGGTGCGAGGCAGGATTGGTGAGCAGTGTGGCCAAGGAAGGCTGTGGTGTAGTGGTTGAGAGCAGCAGACTCGTAATCTGGGGAACTGGGTTCGCGTCCGCGCTCCTTCACACGCAGCTGCTGGGTGACCTTGGGCCAGTCACACTTCTCTGAAGTCTCTCAGCCCCACTCACCTCATAGAGTGTTTGTTGTGGGGGAGGAAGGGAAAGGAGAATGTTAGCTGCTTTGAGACTCCTTCAGGTAGTGATAAAGCGGAATATCAAATCCAAACTCCTCCTCCTCTTCTTCTTCTTCTTGTGTGGCTTGTGGAACTTGCTCCAACGTGACTTGGGGGTGGAGCGTCTGTTTGCATGCAGGAGGTCCAGTGTTCAGCCCCTGGCTGGCGCTGGGGGAGCCGCTGCCCGCCAGTGCAAACAATACTAATCTAGATGGACCAATGGTTTCACTTGGCTGAAGGCAGTTTATTTTGTCCCTATCTTTCAAGCCATTGTGGGGAAACCCGGTCATTTGAACAAACATGGTCTGTTCGCTGCACAAGAGGCGTGCATTTTTGCTATCGAAACTTGAGGGCTATTTTTTAAAAAAATAGTTATTTAAGTTGTGTGTCCTTTGTTTCTCAGTTTGATCCTTTTACATGGCTTTGTATGTTTTGTGGTGTTTTATGCATTGCGATTTGCTGTTATTTATTATAGATTGGTGGCGCTGTGGGTTAAACCACAGAGCCTAGGATTTGCCAATCAGAAGGTTGGCGGTTCAAATCCCCGCGATGGGGTGAGCTCCCGTTGCTTGGTCCCTGCTCCTGCCAACCTAGCAGTTCAAAAGCACTTCAAAGCACAAGTAGATCAATAGGTACCACTCTGGCGGGAAGGGAAACGGCGTTTCTGTGCACTGCTCTGGTTCGCCAGAAGTGGCTTAGTCATGCTGGCCACGTGACCCGGAAGCTGTACGCCGGCTCCCTTGGCCAATAAAGCGAGATGAGCGCCGCAACCCCAGAGTCGGTCACGACTGGACCTAACTGTCAGGGGTCCCTTTACCTTTACCTTATTATAGATTGATAATTCATTACTGTGGCTGATAAGTGTTCAATTATTATTTGCTGATGTTTAATGTTACTGTTTACTATTAGATTCTGATGGATTCCTGAATGCTGCTTTGTTTTATATAAGTTGTTTGTTTTAAAGTTATTGTGACTTTTTGTATTGGATTCTTACTATTAATGTTTGACGTTCTATTACGTTTTTGTATGTGTTGGAAGCCGCCCAGAGTGGCTGGGGAAACCCAACCAGATGGGAAGGGTATAAATCATAAATTATTATTATTATTAATTATTATTATTATTATTATTGTGCAACCCAGCCAGGTGGGCAGAGTATGAATATATTGTTGCTGTTGCTGTTGTTGCTGTTGCTGTTGTTTTAGTTGTTGTTGTTGTTATTATACTTTCCAGTGTTACCTTTTGAAAGTGCACTTTGTGGGTTAATTTGAGCTGTCTTAAGTGTCCCTCAAACCACTCCTTTTGGCTCTTAAGACCCAGGCAAGTAGGTATCTGGAGCCAGGGGAAAAACCTTGCTTCTCTGGGTAATCTCTTCCTGGCTCAAGGAAGACAGCATGTTCTGAGCAAAGCACAGCTGCAGCCTCTTACAGCTGATCCACGTTCCCAGCTTTCGAGTCCCTGATCGCCGAGTAAACAACTCAGCAGGCCTAGCCTGTTGCTCGCAGTGGGAGCGAAGCCAAGCCTATGGCTGCTTGAGACTGCGGCTCGGCTCGGCCTCTTTTTGGCTGTGTTCCCTCACGGGGGGGTGGGGGGTGGCATTTAGATAAACACTGCAAGGAGTCCCGGAGCTCGTAGACAGAACCTATGTTTGCTCAGATGTCGCTGTGCTTCAGAATGGAACTGTTGCCCAAGCCACGCTCCGTTTTCCCTTCCTGTGCAGTGATGGTGTCGGCAGAGATCGGGGATTATTGTTGTAGATGCGTTTTGCGGGGAGGCGGCAAAATCACGATCCCACGCTTTTTAGTGCATTTCCTCGTGACCTCCCGAACCGCAAGCAGCCCTCAAAAAGAAAAAGAGGCATGTTGGAAAAGAGGAGCGAAAGACTTAACTTAGTAAAACCTCACTTGTTGTCACTTGATCTATTATTCTTATATATATGTATATATTCCTTTATCTATACGCAGGAGTTGGTAAAGGGACCGTTGAGGGAATAAGGATATTTGTTTAAAAAGATGGGTGCTAATTAAAGATAAGTTTGTAATATAAGCAGCGTGTAATTGGGAAGAAATGGAAACATCTGAGAAAGATAGTGGGAAGCCAGTTTTTGGGGGGACTTGTGTTCAATTAGTTTTAACTTGGCATTGACGGGTTATAAATTTGGAAAACGGATAAAAATTAATTGGCACAAAAAAGGAAAAATGTGAATTAGTTGGACCGGAGGAAATTGAGTTTCCAGTGCATGCGATCGAATAGCAGCCCACCAAATAGCGGAAGTCTATAGGACACCCAGGATTTAGCCCCAGACAAACTTCCGCTCTGTCTTTCCTCTTTCTCCAGCGAGCCCAGAAGAGCAGTGGCAGCGGGCGATCAATGAGAGAGGGGAGGTGGCTTGTCCGACCTGCAGCATGATCACCCGGAAGACGATCCTTGGCCTCAAGAAGCACATGGAAGTCTGCCAGAAGGTAGGAAGCCAAAATTGGACGGGATCAAACCACCGAGTACCATGTCAACGAATTGTTCTGGTATCTGGCTGGGTTTCCCCAGCCACTCTGGGAGGCTCCCAGCAGAATATTAAAAACATAATGAAACATTAAACAATAAAAAAATTCCCTAAACAGAGCTGCCTTCAGATGTCTTCTAAAAGTCAGATAGTTGTTTATCTCCTTGACATCTGATGGGAGGGCGTTCCACAGGGTAGGTGCCACCACCGAGAAGGCCCTCTGTCTGGTTCCCTATAACTTGGTTTCTTGCAGTGAGGGAACCTCCAGAAGGCCCTCGGAGCTGGACCTCAGTGTCTGGGCTGGATGATTGGGGTGGAGATGCTCCTTCAGGTATACAGGACCGAGGCCGTTTAGGGCTTTAAAGGTCAGCACCAACACTTTGAATTGTGCTCGGAAACATACTGGGAGCCAATGTAGGTCTTTCAAGACTGGTGTTACGTGGTCTCGGCGGCCGCTCTCAGTCACCAGTCCAGTTGCTGCATTCTGGATTAGTTTCTGGGTCACCTTCAAAGGTAGCCCCACGTAGAGCGCATTGCAGCAGTCCAAGCAGGAGATAACTAGAGCATGCACCACTCTGGTGAGACAGTCTGCGGTTAGCGAGGGTCTCAGCCTGCATACCAGATGGAGCTGGTAGACAGCCGCCCTGGACACAGAACTGACCTGTGCCTCCATGGACAGCTGTGAGTCCAAAATGACTCCCAGGCTGCGCACCTGGTCCTTCAGGGGCACAGTTTCCTCATTCAGGACCAGGGAGTCCTCCACACCTGCCTGCTGTATCTATAGGGATATAGATACAGGCAACTCCCCATTTACACAGAGGTTACGGTCTGAGGCACCGTGCACGTAAGTGAAATCGCATAAACTGGGAACACCATTGACAAAAGCCTGCAAACTCCCCAATCACTCCATCCAAACCTCCTTGCTCAAACTCCCAACTCTCCACGGGTCTCGGAAAGTCGATGCAAGGACTCCTGGGATTGCACTTGCAAAGGCTTGTGGGATTGCTAGGTGCTGTTTTGTGATGTGTTTGCCCTTTCTGCACTCTTTTAGGGCCATTTTTGCCCTTTTCCTAGTCACTTCCAGGTTCGCAGTGATGCATGTGTGTGCGCGCAGTTACACAAATATTGAACATATGCAAATGGAGAGTTGCCTGTATATTTTATAATTTTATTGCCAGTAAGGGCCTGGTGGTAAAATACACATTTTTAACAAGCCCTGCTATTATTATTATTATTATTATTATTATTATTATTATTATTATTATTATTATTTTGGAGGGTAAGGCTATCAGCGGCTATTGGTTGTGATGGCTGCACTCTGCCCCACTGGGCCAGAGGCAGCTATGCTTCTGAAAACCAGTTTTTGGTGTGTTGACTTTTCGTTCCGCTTGCTTCAGCTGCAGGATGCCTTGAAATGCCAGCATTGCAAGAAGCAATTCAAGTCCAAAGCCGGGTTGAATTACCACACCATGGCCGAACACGTCAACAAGGTAGGAAACTCTGGTTGCATGTAAAACAAGTAAATGAATATTCTGCACTGTGGCAACATACTGCCCTCGAATAAGCCGGAGTCCACAACTTGTGTGCTTTTGCAAGTTTGCATAATTTCCCTTGTCTTCCAACCCGTGTTTTTGGAATTTGTGCTATTTATTGCCCTTTTAATAGTCGGGGGGGGGGCAGGGAAAAGGGGCAAGGAGCTGTGCTGGGCACTGGGGCCTCCAGACCCCATGACTATTAATCTTGTTCCACAACCCCTCTGGCACCTGAAATCTCACCAGGAACATGCCTTTGCAACCACGAGGGCTGTAAAAAAACAATTAAAAAGAGGAAATCAGAGATTCTCACTTTTCTGCGCTGGCATCACTCTGCAATAGATGCATAGTCTTGGATAATGGCGCCAGGGTGCTGGCGGCCTTCCTGCCTTTTATAAAATGCCTCTTTCTGGGGTGTGAGGCAGACAAGGGCCCACTGCGTGTACGAAAGGCTAGATTAACATTGCGGGGTTTCTCGATTCCTTCCCTGCAGCCAGTTCCTGTGGAAGCCGCTGCCCCTCTCAGCGAGCACGAAGAGCGGGAGAGGCTGAGGAAAGTACTAAAGCAGATGGGGAAACTAAAATGCCCCGTTGAGGTACTTCTTTTCGCTCTTTTGGCTAATATTTCCAGCAGAGAAAGAGTTGGGGAAGCCAGTGAGTTTTTCAGTACGATCACATCTTACGCATGTTTGTCAGGCGCGTTTGACGTTAGGTGGTTGAAGGCCAGTTGCTTGAAATCACACAAATTTAACGCCCAGAAGGCAGAGAACTCAAAAGCTCTCTTTGTTCAGGGTTTCCCCGGCGCAGAAAGAGCTTTTAAACTCTCTGCCTTGCTTACTGGGCTCTGGGATGCTTGTGCAAGATCTTGGGATCTCACGAGAGCATTCCAGAGCCCAGTAAGCAAGGCGGAGAGCTGTTAAGCTCTCTGTTTTGCTGTGGGACGCAAGGCAGCATGGATGTGCTGTCTTAACAGAGATAAATCTATGGCCCGCAACTTCACTTTACGTTTAAAGCAATATCACTCCCCTTTAAAAAGTCATGACTTCCCCCCAACGAATTCTGGGAACTGTAGTTTGTTAAGGGTCATGAATGGAAGGGAGAAGAGTCGGTGGAAGAAGATTGGAAGAAATTTAAAGACTATTTACAGAAATATTGCAAAATTAATGAATGTTAGAATGATGTTGGATTGAAGTTAAGTGGTTTCTAGCTGTAATGGTATAAAAGAATATGGACAAATTGGTTTTTAATACGTAAAAATTTAATGTTTATAATATATCAAGATTAAAGATCAGGATTAAAAAGGAGGGAAAGGAATTGCTGGACTAACAAACTGAATTGGAATACAAAAGAGGGTGGTATGAGGAGGTCCGGGAAATAAGGAAATGTAAGAGAAGTGATGAAAAGATGAAATTGTTTTTAACTGTTTTTTCTTATTTTGTATTTTGTATTTTTCCTTTTTATTGTTAATTTTTCCTTTTTATTGTTAATTTTCTTATTAATGTAATCTCTTTCTTTTCTTTGAAATTTTAATAAATATCATTTTTTTAAAAAATGAATGTTCTCTGTTAAGACAGATTGATGGTTGAAATACCCTGGAAATTGTAGTTCTTGGGGGCAGGGAAAAAGCCAACCGAAGATGAAAAATCCATTAAATCAGACATTATGAGTTCATCTTCGGTTGGGTAGTTCGCTAGTCTCTGTGGCTTTGTACAAGGTTTTGTCTTTTTCTCAGAAGATTGATAAAGAATGTATAATCATTTTGGTAATTATTGATAGCCTTATGAGCTGGTCTCATCTGCTTTTGAACCCATCTAAGTTTCTGGCATTCCCACCGTGTTTCTCCTGTTCCTCTTCCTGCAGGGATGCGTGGCTACTTTCTCCAGCCTTATGGGGTACCAGTACCACCAGAAGCGGTGCGGGAAGCAGCTGTCCGAGGTGGAGAAGCCCGTCTTCACCTGCCTGCACTGCGGGAAGACGTACAAGTCGAAAGCAGGACACGACTACCACGTGCGGTCAGAACATCCGTCCGCGGTAAGGCCCTATGAGCCTCTTCCCTCCATTCTGTTGTCGTGCTGTTGAGTATCATTATGCTGCAAGACATTACATTTTGCAAAGTGTTTCCTCATCTTTTATTTATTTATTTTTTTAGAAAAATAGTTTTTATTTGCATTTTTAATACAAAACAAGCAAAAAAACCACACACACACCCTTTCCTCCACCCCACCCCCCAATTGTACAACTTTCATACCAATCTCGACATACAATTAAATACCCAGTGACTTCCCATCCACCCTTTTCCTGGTTTCTGTACTATTCTATAAATTGCGTATTCCAAATTTTTACTCTACAAATTTCTTCCTCTGCTAATTTCTGTTAGCGCCTATTCTGCCGGGTTTACTCAAGACCAGCTAGGTTATTTACTTGTTTATACTGGTTCTTTAAAATATCCAATAAACATTTTTCAATCCTCCTTCTATCCTTTATCATACTTTTCTCTTCCCTATTCGTTATGCCTGCCAGTTCAGCATATTCAAGCATTTTAAACTGCCACTCTTCTCTGGTGGGTACCATACTCGTTCTCCACCTTTGTGCCAGTAAAATTCTGGCCGCGTTGGTGGCATATAATAATAATATCTCTCTCTCTCTCTCTCTTTTTTACCATTCCCAAAAGGAATGTCTCAAGCTTTTGGGGGAAGGTTTTTATGAATATCTTTTTAAAATCATTGTAAATTACTTCCCAGAGTTCCCCGATTACTTTACAAGACCACCACACGTGGAAAAAGGTTGCTTCTACTTCATTGCATTTCCAACATTTATCTTTTTCTTTTATCAACATTTCTGCTAGTTTGGCAAGGCAACAGTGATCCTCTGGTGGTGCTTGTGCAAAACCTATTTCTCCTCTCAGCAGTTGTCTCAGCTTGCTAAATTTGGTTTCAATACTCCTTATTTTAATGATTTTTTTGTTTTGGGTGTCTTTGAACCACCTTGATTTTTCCCCCTTTTAATAGAAGGCAGCGTTACAATTATTTTAAATACAGTGCAGCAACATCTCGCACACATTTAACATGCACGATTTTAAATGTACGCGGCTGAAGGCAGGCTGGTTGAAAGTACGCAAGTTAAATCCAAAACTGGCGGGGAGCTTAAAAGCTCATTCTCTGGCTTGTGGATCCTGGTGACAGCCTTTGACATATAGTATCCAGGCTTTCTCATGCTGATGCAGAAGATGGGGCTGACACTGGTTGTTGTTCTTTGGGTACCCCTTTCCACCTTCACCCCCTTTCCCCCCGTCTTCTCAGCCTCCTGAACAGCCCGAGATCAAGCCTGAAGTCAGCCTCGTCGAAGATTTCGAGAGGACTCCGAGCGGCAGGATCCGGCGCACGTCAGCCCAGGTCGCCGTCTTCCACTTGCAGGAAATCGCCGAGGATGAGCTAGCCAAGGACTGGACCAAACGGAGGATGAAGGACGACTTGGTCCCCGAGACAAAGCGAGTGAGAGCCCGTCACTTACCTGACTTTTGCTGAAGGGCGGGGTGCAAGGAAAACAGGGTCTGTAGTCTTGGTCTGGGGCACGTGTTGGGGTGTGTGGCTTGCGGGTTCTTCAATTGGCTAGTTTGGAAACAACTTGGAAATCACACAGGCGCTCTCTCTGGGCCTGACCAGAGAAGCCAAGCTTAGGGAATTGTTTTTGCAGGACCAGGTGCAGCTCTGAGGATAGCAGGGCTTGCAGCTTCAGTACCACTCTGTTGTTGCTTGCAGTGATCGTGCTTCAGCCAGGGCTAGCAGGCCTCTCCACCAGCTACTAGTGTTGTACTGAGTTAGCATGCTCTAGTTATCTCCCGCTTGGACTACTGCAATGCGCCCTACGTGGGGCTACCTTTGAAGGTGACCCGGAAACTACAACTAATCCAGAATGCGGCAGCTAGACTGGTGACTGGGAGCGGCCGCTGGAACCACATAACACCGGTCCTGAGAGATCTGCATTGGCTCCCAGTATGTTTCCGAGCACAATTCAAAGTGTTGGTGCTGACCTTGAAAGCCCTAAACGGCCTCGGTCCTGTATACCTGAAGGAGCGTCTCCACCCCATCGTTCTGCCTAGACACTGAGATCCAGCGCCGAGGGCCTTCTGGCGGTTCCCTCCCTGCGAGAAGTGAGGTTACAGGGAACAAGGCAGAGGGCCTTCTCGGTGGTGGCGCCTGCCCTGTGGAACGCCCTCCCATCAGATGTCAAGGCAATAAGCAACTATCTTACCTTTAAAAGACATCTGAAGGTGGCCCTGTTTAGGGAAGTTTTTAATGTTTGATGCTGTATTGTGTTTTTAATATTTGGTTGGAATCCATTCAGAGTGGCTAGGGAAACTCAGCCAGATGGGTGGCGTATAAATAATACATTATTATTATTATTAATATTATTATTATTATTAGCCTACTAGATGTGCATATGCGCAAGGTCCTCAGTGTTTTCTTTCTCTGCCACTGGTTGAGCTCTCCTTCGTCACACTGCCTGTGACAAAATACACTCTTCTTGATTTCATCTCTTGTTGATTTCATCCAGTTAAAGATTTGTTCATTTCGGTGAAACATACATACACACACATGCTCCAGCCAATCTTTTTGAACTTGGGAAAATGAAAATAACAGAATCGGTTTTTGGGGGGAAACTTGTTGAGCTAATAAGCAGATTAAAAGAATAATAATGCAGTTTTTTGTAGAGCTGTGTTTTATATGCCGAAGTTGATTAACCCCTGCTTCTTGCCTGGCAGCTAAACTACACCCGTCCTGGGCTTCCGAAGCTGAACCCGAAGCTTCTGGAAACCTGGAAAAACGAAGTGAAGGAAAAAGGACACATCAACTGCCCTAATAATGTGAGTGCCTTGTTTTCTGCAGAGCTGATTGGAAAATGAAAGGGATGTTATGTTTTATTCTGTGTTATGGACATGCTGCGGGACGCGGGTGGCGCTGTGGGTTAAACCACAGAGCCTAGGACTTGCCAATCCGAAGGTCAGCGGTTTGAATCCCCGCGATGGGGTGAGCTCCCGTTGCTCAGTCCTGCCAACCTAGCAGTTTGAAAGCATGTCAAAGTGCAAGTAGATAAATAGGTACCGCTCTGGCGGGAAGGTAAACGGCGTTTCCATGCGCTGCTCTGGTTCGCCAGAAGCGGCTTAGTCATGCTGGCCACATGACCCGGAAGCTGTACGCCGGCTCCCTTGGCCAGTAAAGCGAGATGAGCGCCGCAACCCCAGAGTCATCCGCGACTGGACCTAATGGTCAGGGGTCCCTTTACCTTTACCTATGGACATGCTGCAGATTGGAACAGTTCTCATGTTCTTAAGGTTTCATGGCCAGGGTGCCCAGCCCCTGAGTCGAAAAAGTTGCCTCTCCCTGATCTCCAGGAAAGGCTTGTTAGCAGGGCTGTGGGGAGGTGGGAGGGACGTTGTTTGTAGAGCAGGTGAGAGGCATTAGCCGGTTAGCACAGCCACTTTGAAAAGGTGCGCGGCTCTGAAACGGATAGCGTCTCTGCCCAGGCGATTAGCCCAATTTCCCTTTCCACATCAGACTCGCGACCGGCGGTGCCGTAAGATCTCCCGTCGCCCAGCAGGTCTCCCGTAACTGCTTGAAAGCGCCTTGAATGTTCAAAGGTCCATTTAGGGACGTGTTTTGCCTGCCAGCGACGGAGCCACATGACTCCCATTAGCAGTAATTAGAAGCATGTGGCAAGATCCCAACAGGCAGATCGCCTGTAAAATTAACCTTGTGACGGCGAGAGGGAGCTTGCAAAGAAGGAGAGCCTTGTGGGGATTTGGAGGGGGGCGGGTCGCTGCAACCCCATGAAAGGGGGAAAGGAGGGAGGGGAGTACAAAACCCTACTTACCATGTGCTGCGCTGTTTTCGCTTCCAGTGCTGCGCTGCCATCTATTCCAGTGTGTCCGGTTTGAAAGCCCACCTTGCAAACTGCAACAAGGTAAGGCGTTTAAGAGGCTTATAGCCTAACGTCATTATTATTATTTATTAAGCTTGTATGCCGCCCTTCATCAGGAAGATCTCAGGGCGGTTCACAGCATCAGAATACAAAATAAAAACACAAAATACACAATGAAAGCAAACACAAAACAATAACCACCCCGCACCCACAAACACATATAAAAAGGACACATAATGTTAATCATGCAAAGACCTGGTTGAAGAGGAACATTTTTGCCTGGCGCCTAAAGATGTACAGTGAAGGCACCAGGCAAGCCTTCCTGGGGAGAGTATTCCTCAAACGGGGAGCCACTGCAGAAAAGGCCCTGTTCTCGTGTTGCCACCCTCTGGATTTCTCATGGAGGAGGCACACAACAAAGGGCCTCAGATGGTGATTTCAGGGTCTGGGTCAGTTCATATGGGTAGAGGTGGTCCTGGAGGTATTGAGGTCCTGAGCTGTTTAAGGCTTTATAGGTCAAATTCAGCACTTTGAATTGGGCCTAGAAACTAATTGGCAGCCAGTGCAGTTGGGCCAGGATCAGTATAATATGCTCAAACTGTCTTGCTCCATTGAGCAACCTGGCCGCTGAATTCTGCAACAGCTGAAGTTTCCGAACCTTCTTCAGAGGCAGCTCTGGAGGATGCCATAGCCAGTGGTATCCAAAACCCGCAAAGAGGTCATGTAATGGCAATGTTGAGAACCCTTCCCATAGGCGGAAATCCTTTTCCCAACTCTCACTCCCCGCCCTCAGCTTTCAGCGCCCTCTGCCAAATTCAAGCCCCTCGTTCATTTTCTGACGGATCAGAAAACGTCTGAAACGGTTCATTCAGATGCTTCCAGTTGTGTGAAGATGCACCTATACTCAATGTCTGATGCTTGCCTGCCTCGCATTAATGCCACAGATCCAGCTGCAAGCATGCTCCCGCGACTCTCACTACACCCCCTCTCCCGCTGGGAGCTCGTACATCACCTCATTGTCAATAAAGAATATATTACGCATTCTCTAGTGGCAGATGGAAGCAGAGTAGGGAGCTCATTCGTTTTCCGCAAGGTCAGCGGTAGCAGAAATCCAGGGTTTTAATTAGCTGCTCGGCAACCCAGAAGAGAAATTTCAAAAGCTTTATTGATCAGGTTCGGCCATAAATTAGAGGAAGCCTCTGCTCCTCGTAGCGGGCTGCAGGGTAGAATGAAGCTGCTGTTCTGCTCCATGTGGCAGCTTGGGTAGGCTGGCGCAACGTCGGGGATGGCCAGCTCCACGAGAGGTTCAAGCTGGGGCAAGTGGAAGATGTTGTTTCAGCAACAGATAGCTGTTAGCTTTTTTTGGTGATGAAACAGATGCCCTTTACTTGTCAGGTTGGCAACAGTTGAACAGGTATTATTCAATTATTATTACTATTATTATTATTATTGTTGTTGTTGTTATATTAAATTTACATATTAATGAAAGCAATGTGTTTCTCTCCCTTGAGCCAAAGAGAGGGCTTAGTCCTTCATAGCAGTGCATAAGTTACCATATTTTTTGCTCTCTAAGACTGACTTTTTCCCTCCTAAAAAGTAAGGGGGAATGTGTGTGCATCTTATGGAGCGAATGCAGGCTGTGCAGCTATCCCAGAAGCCAGAGCAGCAAGAGGGATTGCTGCTTTCACTGCGCAGCGATCCCTCTTGCTGTTCTGGCTTCTGAGATTCAGAATATTTTTTTTCTTGTTTCCCTCCTCCAAAAACTAGGTGCGTCTTGTGGTCTGGTGCGTCTTATAGAGCAAAAATACGGTATTAATCCATAGCTTGCCTGTCCTCACAAACAGCGTCTACTGCTTGAAGTCACCACGCTCCCATGTTCTCAAGGAAACGACGATAACAAAATAAGCAAACCAACTGCCACCATTTATTCTTTGTCAAATACATTTACAATGCAAATACAGTACAGATACTAACAACAACCTCAGAATGGACCTTAGGTAAGGCGGGGGCTGTAAGCTCCTCTGCCAAAAATCCCCCATCTTTTGCCCTCCATCTCACCTGAGCGAGCCAGGTGACCCTTTCTGCTAAGTTTCCAAATGCATGAGTGCAGGATAGGTTCTGAAAGGTCCGGGTGAGAGTTAACCCTTCCCCGGATTCCCAGGGGAGGTTCTGACCCCCACCTGAATCCTACTCCATATATGAAGGGGCCTGAAGTTTCCCTGGAGCCTGAATGTCACAGTGCCAAGGACAAATCTGTCCTACGTAGATGATCAACACATCTCCAAGATATCCTCCGGGGCTGAGCTCACATGGCCGGACCTTTGTATTGCAGGGAGACCACTCCGTGGGGAAGTATCGTTGTCTTCTGTGTCAGAAGGAGTTTAGCTCAGAAAGCGGAGTCAAGTACCACATCATTAAGACTCACTCGGAGGTAAGTACCGGGCCTTGTCAGCAAAGGACTTTGGGGGGAGTCCGCCCTCCCCCCCCCCCGAAAGCTGAAATTCTCGTGAGGCCTACAGAAGAGTGGTCCCAGTGAGCTGGAATAAATCATTATTCTTTTCTAATAATATAGGAGTGAATTTCAAACTTCCAGCTGACTGAAATTAGTCCCCCAGATTTGCTACCTTATTTTCCAGTAGCTAATTTGGGAGGGGGGGTTGTGGGGAGGGTTTAATGAAGGGGAGGGGACTTTAGGCCATTCATCATACCCTGCATCAAAGGCAGTCTAGGTAACTCCCTGTCAGGGACTGGGCAGATGATTAGGAATGGTGGAGACTGTTACCCCAAGAGCCTTCCAGAGAAAGGAGGCAGAGGGTATGGACCCAGGATCGTGGTGGTTTGAGACGGGAGACTTCCCAGAAGAGGAAGAAAAGAGCTGGGAAATCATGGAGGGTGAGGAACAGGAGCAATAATAATAATAATAATAATTTATTATTTGTACCCCACCCATCTGGGTGGGTTTCCCTAACCACTCTGGGCGGCTTTCAACAGAACATTAAAATACAATAGTCTATTAAACATTAAAAGCTTCCCTAAACAGGGCTGCCTTCAGATGTCTTCTGAAAGCCTGGTAGTTGTTTTTCTCTTCGACAGCTGGTGGGAGGGCTTTCCACAGGGTGGGTGCCACCACCAAGAAGGCCCTCTGCCTGATTCCCTGTAACTTCTAAGGTAGCCCCACATAGAGCGCATTGCAGTAGTCCAGGCGAGAGATAACTAAAGCATGCACCACTCTGGCGAGACAGTCTGCGGACAGGGAGGGTCTCAGCCTACCTACCAGGTGGAGCTGATGCCCTAGTCCTGAACAGGGACAGGAGTCAGATGTCGTAAAAACAGTACAGCAGCTGATTGACCCCATGCCCCTTGAAAGAGGGCTAGGCGTGCTCTTTGTGTCTCTGGTCTCACAGCCAAACAGAAAAGGAAAGATTCCCTGGTCGGCACCGTAGGCAGCAGGAGGGGTATGAGATGTAGAGAAAGTCAGCGGCCAGGGGAAAGAGTGGCCACTCAGGGGAACAGTCCCATTTCCTGATTTCCATGTATTAAGTAGTGGGTGGACATAGCAGACGACACAGAGATTTCTCCAAGTTGTTCTTTATAAGTAAGCTGGAATTGAACTGAACAGCAAACAGCTCAGCCGGTCTGCTTTTATAGGCAGCCGGCTGTCCACATTGGAACAACAACAGCCTAAATTAACTTACGTGGACCTGAGTGAAAACTATACAGTCATACCTCGGGTTGAAGTAGCTTCGGGTTAAGCACTTTTGGGTTACGCTCCGTGGCGACCCGGAAGTAACGGAGCATGTTGCTTCCGGGTTTCGCTGCTCGCGCATGCGCAGACGCTCAAAATCATGCTCGGAAGTGGCGAGACGCGCGGATCCCGTTCACATCCAGAGGTACCACTGTACACAATACCCCCTGGTGGCCAGGGTGAGAACTTCCGTACATAACACCGTGCACAGTGGACGCTTGGGTTGCGAACGTGATCCGTGTGGGATGCGCACACGCGGGTTGCGATTCAGTGCTTCTGCGCATGCGCAAAGCACAGTTTAGCGCTTCTGCACATGCGTGACCACCGAAACCCGGATGTAACCTGTCCTGGTACTTCTGGATTTTGGCTGTCCGTGACCCAAAAAACGCAACCAGAAGCGTCTGTAACCCGAAGTATGACTGTATTTCTGATTCCAAGAAATGTACTGAAAAGCAGCACTCCGTCTCTCTGCGTGTCTGGATTCTCTGGGCAGTTAGCCAAGTGAGATGCCCGTTGGCTTCCCTCCCCTCCCCTCCCCTCCCCTTCCCTTCCCTCCTTTCGTCTCCTTGGTTCACCCAATTTGGGGGAAGGATTTTGGGGCAAACCCCCAAACTGAAGCAGGTGATTGCAGCTCAGAATGGTTCCAAGTGGGGATGAGGTGCTTCATTTAGTTATTTTTTTAACTTCTGAAAACCGCCACATTTGCCGGTAGTTGTGGTGTTGCGGCACAGCTGCAGCCGCTGCTATTCTGCGCCGCGTCCAAATTGAGTTCCCGACTCTGTGCTCCTTTCCTTCCTTGAACGCAGAACTGGTTCCGGACTTCCACGGAGGCCATCCGGAAGAAAAAGACCAGCGAGCCGACCGCTGCCAGCCACGAGGAGAAGAAGAAAAGCACAGACGGGAAGAAGAGGGGGCGGAAACCGAAGGAAAGGCCTCCGGAATCTTCCGCCAAAAGCAAAGAGATAGGCAAGACGAACCATAAGAAACCGGCCGGGCCCTGGGAGGCCGCGGACTTCAGCCCCGATGAGAGAGAGCAAGGTAACAAGCCCCCCCACAGCAAGAAAGGGGGGTCCAGTAAAATGCCAGAGAAATAAGCCGTCGTTTTTTGGGGGGGAGAAAACAAAACAAAACTCTCTAATGATTAGTTTACAGCCCAGGGTAATGGGGCGGAAGGAGGGGAGAGCTACTCCCAGTATATGCTGGGGCCCTCCACCTTCTGCTCATCCCTTTTTTAAAAACGAAAAACCACTTTAAATCACGGGACATTTTGTTTTCACCACTGGAAGAAGAGAACCAAGCGAGGAACGGCCGCTGCGATTCTTCCGTCGGAAACCTCTGCGGATTGTACATAACCCCCTGTGTGGGTCAGGAGCTCCACGTCCAGGGGCAGGTGGAATAGTAAGGTGGTTTGTCGGCACCCTCCTTCCTTTCTTCCTGCTTCTGAATTCGAACCCAGTGCCGTTCAAGCAAAGAGAGAGAAGGAGAGGAAAAGAGAGCAAAGGGGGGTTTGCTCAAGCAAAGGGAGAAGGAAGTGCAATAGGAACCCAGGCGTAAGCTGGTCAAAATTCTTTTTTAAAAAGCTATTATTATTTGTGGATTCCTTTTCAGGTAGCAGTCATGTGTTAGGAAATAGAGCTGGTGGGGATTTTGCAGATGAAATTATTGTTGTGATTGTGGTTGCGAACCAGCTTTCTTTTATAATTTTCATAAGAGATGCTTTCTTACGAAGGAAAAAAGGAAAAACAAGAACCCGATGGGGTCGTTTGACGACGGACGTTTCGGGATTGTTGTTTCGTTAGGTTCTGTTCACGTTTTAAACGTTGCTCTGATTTGGGACCTGGTTCCCCATTTTCAGCTTGGGGAGCTATATCCTTCAGTTGTCAAGGTTTGGGGATGAGGGCGGGGAAGGGGGAGGGTTTTGACAATGAGACGTTTTTGGAAGCAGACCGGTTGGGAGTTTTGAAAATGGCCGTTCTCTCGCTGCGTCAATTCTTGCCTGGGAGCCCCTGCAGGGGAAAATCACAAACATTTTTTTGTAAGGCATACTTCTTTGAGGGGAAGCTTTGAACGGAAACTGCTTATTGCGGTGCGAAATAAATTTCGAGAACGTTTATTCTGCCTGGAGGAAATATCAAACCATAAAGGAGCCACAGAGCCGTGAATATCTTCTGGGCCTCAGCTCCATCCTGCTGTTCCCTTGTTGAGCACAGAAGGTCTGAAATGGGATGTCGAGTCACGTTTGCTGGAATCTTCCATGTGGTCGGAAATGCTCCTGTGGTGTAGCGCTCAGAGCATTGGATTGGGACCCGAGAAACCAAGGTTCAGATCCTTCACTTGGCTGTGAAGCTTGCCGGGTGACTTTGGCCCAGTCATGGCCCCTCAGTCTAACCTACCTCACAGGGTTGTTGTGAGAATAAAATGGGGAGAGGGAGAGAGCACACTGCCCTGAACTCTTTAGAGCAGCGTTTCTCAACCTGTGGGTCCCCAGATGTGGTTGGACTACAACTCCCATCATTCCTAGCCAGCATGACCAGTGGTCAGGGATGATGGGAGTTGTAGTCCAACAACATCTGGGGACCCACAGGTTGAGAACCGTTGCTTTAGAGGGAAGGTGGGATCTGAATGTAATAATAAGGAAGTAAATCAAGATAAAAGCAGAGTTCCCAGTCGCCAGGAGGCTTAACCTCACATTCAGGAAAACACGGGTAGAAGTCATCCTTCCCTGCTCTGTAGGGGAAAGTTGGGGGCAGAGATGGGGTTCGATATTTCCTGCTCATGCAGAATGCCTGAACTTGGCTCGTTAAAACAAAAATACCGGGAAGGTCCCACCAACTATAATTAAATCACTGGTTGACTTCTGCAGCGCAGAGGGATGCCAACCGTATTGGGCCAGCGGGCGCATTTGGGATTCTGAGAAAGTGCCGTGGGCGCCGGTCACAAAATGGCCGTTGCGGGGATGTGGCGTCATCCAAGATGGCTGCCGCAAGAGTGCGGCATGATGCAAAAACAGCTGCTGGGGAAGGGGGATCCAACAGGATCTGAGCAGAAAGATTGAACAGGGTCTCTCGTGCATTGTGGATTTTTGAGGGGAATTTTGCGGGGACTTTTTTTGCAGGCGCCCTTGGAGGTATGGAGACCTTGGTGACTCCTGCTATAGAGCGTAGGAAGTGTACTTGAATAGGCTTGGGTGTGTCCTGGCGTGTTATATTATGTTAATTCAGCATAACGAACACCTCAGCATTTACCTCAGCTGGTGGGGCCTTGAGTTGAAACCAGTCTCTCTGCCATCACATGGCGAATGGAACCAGTATGTGTTGCCCGATATCAGGAGTCCCCAGAAGTGCTTTTTGGCTATATCCTAAAGCGCCAGATTTAGGCCACAGGAAAAATTATCTAGGTTCTCAGTAAGGTTATAAACGCTCTTTCCGCCATCTCTGAATTTTCAAAGGATAGACACCTCTGGCCTAAGGGACCGCTTCTGGGATCAAGGCTGGCTACTGTTTCTGCCTAGAGGGGGGTTATTTTTAAGGCCCAGGTAGCTTTGTTGAACTACAACTCTCATCAGCCAAAGCCGGCATTGAGAATGGTCAGGCCTGCTGGGAGTTGTAGTCCAGTGATGGAATAATGGAGAAATCAGTCCCATTTAACTTCGATGAAGGTGTAGCTCTAACAGTCTTCCCCCAACCTCATGCCCTCCAGATGTTTTGGAGTACAGCTGTTATGGCTGATGGGAGTTGTCCAGAACATCTGGCGGCCACCAGGTTGGGAGAAACTGAGTTGTACCAACCCTGCGGTATTTGGCAGAGGAAGTCTTTGAAGCTTAGAAGACACTTTGGGCCTGTCTGCTATCGACGCGGTTGGCAAGTCTTGGGGTTTGAATTGACAATTTTAAGCTTCAGGGTTCCTAGGAGAAGGAATGGGATGATCAAATGAGGAGCCATAATATAGGATGGCAGTGTTCACATTGAGGGCTTTCGGCATTCACACACACATTCATAGAATCATAGAGTTGGAAGGGGCCTGTGGCTCATCTAGTCCAACCCCCTGCAGTGCAGGAATCTCAACTAAAGCATCCATGACAGATGAACATCCAACATCTGCTCAAAAATCTCCAAGGAAGGAGAGCCCACCATCTCCTGAGGGGGTCCGTTCCACTGTCAAACAGCTCTTGCCATCAGAAGGTTCTTCCTGGCCTTTAGTCGGAATCTCCTTTCTTATCACTTGAAGCCACTCTCTGGAGCAAGAGAAAGCAAGCTTGCTCCATCTTCCATGTGACAATATTTGAAAATGGTTATCATATTTCCTCTCAGTCTCCTCTTTTCCAGGCTAAACATGCCCAACTCCTTTAGATGTTCCTCATCTTGAGCTCCTAGTTTCTTTCCCTTAACCAGCCAAAATGCCATCCTTCTGAATTAAATGTGCAACGCACTTGACCTCTGTAGCTGCAACAACCCAACAAGGCAGAAGTGCTTACGGAGGAGAACTGGGCATCAGTTTGCTTGTTTGTTAGCCTTGTTTGCTTTTTGAAGTTTGCAGTGTTGAAGACGCAAGCTGTTCCCCCCCTGCCCCCGGTTTCAGTTCCACAGTTTGTACTGAAAATCGGGAAACGCCAGAGGGGCTATTGGCACCCGTCCTGCCCCATTATTTTCCAAATGGTCCTGGGGTTCGTGTGAATGTGTACTAGAGATCCGTAGTGGTCCCTTCAAGCTGGCCAGGGCTGATGGGCACCAGGTTAGTGAATCTGGCTTTAGAGTGATGTGCAGACAAGGCCAATAGCAGCATGACAGAAATGCTTTTCCTACACTGGAGTAAGAGAAATCCGCAGTATCTCCAGAACACCTTCCATGCCTTCTGCTCTTCTGAACGATTTCTTGTCTCCGGACTTTGACGCTATCGTCAAAGTAGTATCTAATTTAATGGTTTTAGCACAGGGAAAACTTGGGATAGAAGCTACCCACTAATGAATAACAAGGCCGAATGATCTCTCCCATCCCCTCTCACATTGAATTTCAGAAGGTAAACCATTTTTGTTAATTAAGCTCCTGCCATTATTTCTCTCTCTCCCCACCAGTTCATAGTCCTTTCTTCACGCTGGAAAGACCTCATTCAGTAATTTCAGAGGGGCGGGGAAATCATTAACGGCATGCCTAGAAATGTCAACTTAACTCTTTGTCAGGCTGGCTCCCTGGGGAAATCTAAGGCTGTGTGGCCTGTCTTGGCAGCTGAATTAAAACTTCCGCATTTTGCCCAGTCAGAAGGACTTGCACTTATTTAATCAAGCCCCTCAAAGTCTCGGGTCTGTTGGAACCAAGACGCTGGTTATTTTTTTGTGCACAGAGAAGCTTTTCCTTGGCCAGTTCAGTGCAGAGAAGCCACAGATGCAAGACCTACCAACTGCGTCACCTTTAACAAGATAGCTGCCTCTTTTTGCAAAAGTCTCACAGTCTTTGAAAAGCAGGAAGGAGGAGGAAGGGAGCAGAGTTCAGTGGTAGACCACCAGATCTACATAACAGGGTCACCCGCTTCAATCCCTGGAGCCTGCAATTAAGCCAGGGACATCTAGCTTGCTTATGCTTCTCCCGAGGACTGCTCCACACCAGATTCAGCCACAACCCAGCGTTCTTGCCAAGCGGCCAGGATTGGCACAGTTTTGCAAGCTCAGGGTGGTAGGCAGGTACACCTGCGCCAAGCAGGTGTTTGGCCACATTCAAACACTACGTTTTCATGAGTACGCTTAAATCGTCTTAAGGTCCACACTTTTAAAAACTGTACAGTTCAAAATGGCCCTCAAACAACTACCGTATTTTTTGCTCTATAAGACTCACTTTTTCCCTCCTAAAAAGTAAGGGGAAATGTGTGTGCGTCTCATGGAGCGAATGCAGGCTGTGCAGCTATCCCAGAAGCCAGAACAGCAAGAGGGATCGCTGCTTTCACTGCACAGTGATCCCTCTTGCTGTTCTGGCTTCTGAGATTCAGAATATTTTTTTTCTTGTTTTCCTCCTCCAAAAACTAGGTGCGTCTTGTGGTCTGGTGCGTCTTATAGAGCGAAAAATACGGTACATGGCTTCAACTTTTTAATCCACAGCTTTCTCAAATACCATACTGTACTACATTTCCTTCTGTGGGAACAAGGGTTGCTGTTTCTCTATATCCGTATTCGCATACCCGTATTGGGACCATAGGGAGTGGGACATGGTGGATGAGAGAGTATGGGTTACGCCAGCTCTGCAGAGTAGCACACTGCACTTATGCCCATGGGTGGGGGTGGGGTGGGTGGGTGGGGGTGAGTGAAGTGTACGACAATCCTGCAGGGTAGTCTATAGAGTTGTGGCACCATATTTTGAGCACTTTTTTGGGGGGGGGGAAATGCAGTGGGGATGAGGGGAGGGCTCTCAAGCTCACAGTAGGAGCAACACAGGGTGGGGAAAGGGGCAATTAATTGCTATCCCACCCATATGATGGGGGGGAGGGATCTTGTGGGTAGGTTGCTGGATATATTCGTTTCAAAAGGCTTTTGCACAAAAAGGAAAGAGAAGAGAAGAGGCAGTGGAGGCTGTATCAAAATATCTGATGAGGTAGTGACCTTTGCTCAGGACCAGCTCTACCATTAGGCAGGTGGGAAAAGCAGTGTTTTTGTGGGTGCCACGTAGCCTGAGCTCTCTAAGCTAACCTGCTGCCTTTGGTTATAGAAAAGGATACTGCCCCATCACCAATGCTGGTGTTCAGCCAGTCCAGTCGCCTTCCATACATGGAATTGGGAAGAGACCGCCATCTTGTCCTTTGCCTCAGGCAGCTAAATAATAATAATAATGAATTTTTATTTATACCCCACCCTTCCCGGTTCAGGAAACTGGGCTCAGGGCAGCTAACAACAAATTTAAAACAATTGATGCTACAAAAAAAAAGCATAAAATACGGTATAAAGCATAAATAACAATAAAATCAAAAATCAATCTAGGGGGAAAATGTCTTAGTTTTGCCACCACTGGAGAAACCACTGTGAAGGTGGATCAGTGATCCCTCCTTAAAGCACTTAAACCCTTTGCTTCCCCTCCCCAGATTGATGAAAGGTGCCCCCCTCCATTATTTACCACGTGGAAACGGGTTTAGCAGCGGGTTTTGCAGCGGTGGGGAAAGGCGAAAGCACAGAACTACAAAGATGTGCTCAGATGCAAATGCCACAGATATAATTAGCTCTCGCTTTGCAAGCCAAAGCCGTCCTCTGTGCTCCACAGCCTCACTTTATAGATTTGCTACCTGTGGTTTTAGCAGACGGTTGGTAAAGAACAAAGCGGATGGGGGGGAAAGGTTGTTCTCGTTTGTTGAGCGCCATAAGTGGGTAGGCCAAAGGCAGCCAGAGATAAATAGCAGCTGATAATATCTTGCCTTTTAACCCTGGAAACCTGGCAGCTGGGTAAGCCATCCTACCTGACCGTGCCGCCAGGCCTAATAGGACTGGCTCACCTGGCAGGGCAGCTCTGGTCCACAGCAATAGCCTCCTGGCAGCAGTGCCACTGTTGCTTACTGGTTGGCTGGCTGTGATGGTGAGGTTTACGCTGTGCAATTGCCCCAATGAGAGCACCAGATTGCCTCTTCCGGTGCTTGGGCAACCCAGCTGCCTCGTCCCTCCTGGTAAATGGCAGCAATTCCTGTGCCAGGAGGCTGTTGCTGTGGGTGTGCCACTCCGGGAGAACCATTCCTTGACTTTAGTGCGGACTGTCTGGATGAATAGTTCGGTGTTGTAGCATCATCTGTGCATTCAGGAAGTCGCAAGTTCGCTCTGCTGCATCCTTCCTTGTCCATGGTCCGCTCAGGCTGCCTCGCTCTTCCATCCCACCAGAGTCCCTTCCTTCCTTCCTGCTTGTTTCCTTCTTCGCTTATCCTGACTTCAAAAAGTCTCCTTCCTCCCCTTTGCTGTGTAGTTCCGGAATAATTGGAAGAATAAGCCGAGAACAAGCCGACGTGTGGGTGGGTGCAGGACCCTGATGTCAGATGATTCCCAGTCCCGCATATAACTCCCTACTCTGTCCAGCCCTAGTTCTAGCATCCATGATTACCCCATTCACCTATGGCGAGCAACAGTCGGGCTGCAGGCGACTAGGCAAGGATCCTTCCGTAGAATGGGAGAGAGCTGGTTCATCCACATTGTGTCCTGCTGATGATAAAGTCAGGCCTGGTCAAGGTAGCGAACGGAAATGGTTTTGTATGCTTCCAATGATGTGTTTGCAAAGGTTACGCTTTCTGCTAGACAAACCCCAGGGCTGTGCAAGGCTTTGCTTTTAACCATGGCGCTTTCTCTCAAGCCCTTGCATTATCTCAAGTAATCCAAATAACAAGTCGCCAATGTTATTATTTCCTTATTGCAAAGGGAGGTTAAGACTAAGAAGCTAGTCTAATAAGCCAAGCCAGTGAGTTCATAGCTGTGCTAAGATTTGAGCTGGGAACTCGTAGCTTATTTGCTTAATGCAAGATCCCTTCCATTTACGGCTTTGGGACGGAAATGTAGCCTCCCTAGAATTCATCTCGTCTACTGATGCATGGAGATATCATGGCAACAGCTCGTCTCCAGAGGCACGAGTGACATATTTCTGGTGTCCTCCAGAGGCTGGCTGCAAAATAGACTTTGCTGGTTGGGTCGGACTGCACGTTCCCTCGCTGGTTGTGTGCGATAGGCATTCATTTCCTGGGGATTCAGGAAAATAATAATGCAAAATCGCCTAGGCAAAATTGGGCCTTTGCTCTTGTGCATTTCTGCTTATAGACTGGTGCAAACAGATTGTTAGTGAGAGCAGCCGAAATGTCTCAAGGTGAAAAGGAAGTGAGAGTGAACTGCAGCCATAAGCAGGGTTTCGATTTCATGAGTACTTCGGATGAATGGGGTTGTAACCTGGAAGGGAGCACCCAGGGTTGCAAGCGGCAAATTCTGAAACGGGGGAGCCCTGCCCCTCCTAAGAATGTACCGCAGTAATGAATTTTGCCTACTGCAGACATTAGGGCTTCAGTACCAAGCCAGTTTGTTTCTTACCCCCAACTCCTGCCTTGCTTAACATGCAGGCTGGCGAAGAGCTCTGTTGAACTCAAAAGCTTCCTGTCATGTGACATTTTGATAGATGGAATACTGTAATAAAAGGAACGTTGCGGTTTTTCGGAATAAAAGTTAACAGTTCAGCAGTTCAGCCCTTTAGCCATTCACGCTAATGTAACGTACCTCTTCTTCTGCTTAGCTTATTTCAGGTGTAGGGAGCCTGGGACTCTCCAGGGGCTGTTGCATTGTGGTGCCCATCACCTTTGACCTTTGGCCATGCCGGCTGGGGTTGGTGGGAGCTGAAGTGCAAATGCTCCCTGTCCCTGGCTTATTTGGTGGGTTGTTTTTCCCTCTTTTTATTTGGCATGCCAAGGAATGGCAAGAAAGTGCCCGGGAGACGATGCCATCACCGCTGCTGTGGAATGCGTGCTGGCGCTTCATCCCTGCCCTGGGAGTATCCCTCCCAATTTTGGCTCCCAAGAACCACCACCTCCAAGCCACTCCTGCTACCTCAGTTTTCTTAATGAAAAGCTATTCACCTCAACCTGCCGTTGATTTCGAGTGGTGTACAGAGAATGAACCAATTCGGGACCCCTGTGAGTCACCCAGTCCAACATCTCATTCCTGTTTGTTTATCTGAGTTGCATGTTTGATTGGGGGGTGCCAAGTGAGCTTGAGATAAGTCGAGAAGGGCCCTCAACACTAGCTCACGTGTGATCCAAAGGAATGATCTGGGCTGTGCTCCCCAAACCTGGTTCCTTCCAGATGTTGCTGGACTACAACTCCCATCATCCCTGACCATGTTGCCGGCGGATGATGGGAGCCGGAGTCCAACAATCTCTGAAGAGCACCCGGTTGAGGAGGTGAGCCTGGATCGTGGAATTCTGTTTCTTCGGCTTCTGAAACCTCCTCTTCCCAGTCCCACCACCACTCCCTGGGCTCTGAGCCGCCTTCTTCCCTGTAGCGTGGTGTAGTGGTTAAGAGCGATAGACTTGTAATCTGATGAACCGGGTTTGCTTCCCCGCTCCTCCACATGCAGCTGCTGGGTGACCTTGGGCTAGTCACACTTCTCTGAAGTCTCTCAGCCCCACTCATCTCACAGAGTGTTTGTTGTGGGGGAGGAGGGGAAAGGAGAATGTTGGCCACTTTGAGACTCCTTGAGAGGAGTGAAAGGCAGGATATCAAATCCAAACAACACCACCACCACCACTTCTTCTTCTTCTTCTTCTTCTTCTTCTTCTTCTTCTTCTTCTTCCCTTGAGGGTTTCCCAGTTGGTTCCTCCTGCCATTCCTCTGTGCCCAACCTGTCCCTGACATGATCTTTCTTGGGGGTCTCCCGCTAGGCCAAGGGTGGGGAGCCTCGGGTCCAGGGGCCCAGTGTGCAGGCCTCTCCATCTGGTCCTCGGGAACTCTCACCAGGCCACGCCCCTCTCGACAGGCCACACCTCTTGGGCCCAGCTTTGCGCCTGCCTCAGGCATGTTTGCATCTTGGGTGGAGGACAAAGGGTGTGTGTGTGTAGGAACTAGCCTACTTTTGCTTCTGGCCCCACCTACCACTGGGGTGTGGCCCTCAGAAGAGGAAATGGCCCTCAGGATGGCCTAGACTGCAATAACTCTCTTTGGAGGGGGGAATCTAAAGCCATAGAGCGTCATCTTCCCGGGGAAAGCCATCAGCATCTTTGGACTCTTGTCGTGAAGAAACTAGATGTATTGCAGCCTTGCCCCAGCTGGCTGGAGCCCATGGGATTTGAAGTCCAATCATCTGGAGGGCACCAGAATGGGGGAGGCTGCCTTAAACAGATACAGCTCTGAAGTTTGAGTGGCGTGCGTCTTAGGGCTAAAGGGGCCGGTTCACAACACGTTTTGTTCCTGAACCGTGCGGCTCTTGTGCTGTTAACCCCCTTCTAAGTGAAGGACATGGAAGCTTGCACTTAGATTTTAAAAAACCCACAAAAATCCCCAAATAGCAGGAAGATAAAACATATCTTCAATAACTGAAATAATAAAGTGTGGAGACTTTACACATTTACGCATGCTTTCCTGTGCGCAGATTATTTTGCCCCAGTCTGAACATGTGTGGATTTTATTTTATTTTTTAAAACTAGATTTAAGAAGGGTTGGGAACAATGCATCACTGGGAAGGGGCTCATGTGGGTGGATGGGTTCAAAATATGACGGGCTGTTTTGGGGCGGGGGAGGGATCTGGAAGAAGAACTCCTACCTCATTTTCCAGCCAGTGCAACCCAAACTTCCTCTGGCTCATAAGCCTCTAAATGACTTCAGGATTTTGTTTCATTTTCCTGCCTCGATGAGGGCCAGGAGCTTATTTTTTACACAATGAAAACCAACGTTGCTCAGGGTTCACCGTGAGCAGCAACCTCTCGTCCTGTTTGATCCTGTTCTCACATTTGACCTCAGAAGAGTTCTGCCAGGGCTTTTCTCCCTGCGACTGCTGCACTCACAACACAACTGAATTGTATGCGTGGCGGGCCGTTCCATCCGAACGGGCCATTCATACTGGGTCGCCATCATTTCTCCGCAAATTGTGTTGCAGCCACCGCCATAAATAATTTCTAGACCAGCTAGCAAGTGAGGTGTTAAAATTTCAGTTTCAGGGAATATAAGGTAAAGGTAAAGGGACCGCTGACCATTAGGTCCCGACCGACTCTTGGCTTGCGGCGCTCATCTTGCTTTATTGGCCGAGGGAGCCGGCGTACAGCTTCCAGGTCATGTGGCCAGCATGACTAAGCCTCTTCTGGCGAACCAGAGCAGCACACGGAAACGCCGTTTACCTTCCCGCCAGAGCGGTACCTATTTATCTACTTGCACTTGGACGTGCTTTTGAACTGCTAGGTTGGCAGGAGCAGGGACCGAGCAATGGGAGCTCACTCCGTCGCAGGGATTCGAACCGCCGACCTTCTGATCGGCAAGTCCTATAGGGTCAGGCAATAAGCATCCTATATGTATTTTAAGCCCTCTGCCCCTGAGTTTCTAGAATCAACCCACCCTTTCCCACTGCTCCCCAAGACTTGGGCAGATTCAGATTTTGCTGCTGAGAGGGAGGTTAGAGGAGCTCAAACATACATGTGCAATCACCTGTGTGCACCCAGAGGTGCTCTTTGCAGCATCAGCTGATCTTGGCAGAAATGCTTGCAACTTCTTTTTTGAGACGGTCATTCATTGTGCATGCCCACCCCTGCGTTCTTAGGATTATTGAGGGCATCAGGTGGAAATCGTCAGCTTTTGGCCTTCCTTCCCCCATGAAAGGCGTCCTGCTGAAATATTCCCTACCGATCTGGGTCCAATTTGCATACTCAGCTAGAGGAGGAAGAGAATGAATGGGTTGCACCCTTCCAGAAGGTCGTCCCAGGTTCGGCCTCTGCCATCTCAAGTTAGTAGCCAGTCATGGGGGAGCCTTTGCCCGCAGAACCTGGGTGAACTGCTGGTAGTCAAAAATAGGCAGACCTGGAGCAAGGATGACCTCAGGCAAATTTCTGCCTCTAGAGAGGCCAGTTCTGAACCCTCTTCTCCGTAAAAGCAAAGAAATCAAAACCTCCTTTCAGGCAAAGAAGCAGCACTTCACAGCTCATTTATTTGCTATTTATTTAGAAAGATTATTACGCTTTTCCTTACAAAATAAATACAGTGGACGCTCGGGTTGCGAACGTGATCCGTGTTGGATGCACGTTCGCAACCCGCAGCGTTCGCAACCCGCGTCTGCGCACGCGCAGGTTGCAATTCGGCACTTCTGCACATGCGCAAAGTGCGATTTAGCACTTCTGCGCGTGCGTGACCACTGAAACCTGGAAGTAACCCGTTCTGGTACTTCCGGGTTTTGGCAGTCCGGAACCCAAAAAAACGCAACCTAAATAGGCTGTAACCCGAGGTTTGACTGTACATGCAGCCAGAGTGGTCTTGCAGTATCCAAATTCATATAAAAGCACATGGAGCTTGGGGTTCTAGTTTAGCTTCCCCTCCCTGCTCTGCTCCTTTTTTAGGGTGTGGCTTCGTCATTTCGAAAGCACAGGGGAGCGTTCAAAAGTCGATTCCTGCCCTGCAGCCTGAAGTGGTATAGTCATCTCCCTCGTGTCAGGACTCTCCCACTTCATACCACTGGCTGCTCTCAGGCCTCGGATGTCGTAAGATGTGTTTTTGTCTGTTAGCTGTGGCTGTACTTGACCACTTTTGAGCACTGGTTATGCGCTGGAGTTGTCGAGGGGTTGCAGTAGCCCTTGTGAAGTGTGGTTGGCTTTGAACGTCAGCTGTTGACACTGAAAGCTCAGTTTGTTGCCACCAGGAGCTGAAGCTAGCATTTCTGGAGAAACCTGCGT